CTTTAGTTTAGTGGTATTTTTTTCGACTTTTATAGTTGACCGTAAATGATTTAGGTCTTTATGGAAATAAAGTGGGTGTGTGAGTAAAATAAATAAATCTACCTCAAGTTTGGATAATTTTAAGTGGAGCGAATTTAATAAAAAAAAGAGTGCATGATATTTAATTTATATGAAAATTTATAATAATTTAATAGAACATTGCACAACATATAAAAAATATATATCATTATATGGTTCAAAAGAAGGGTCAGATGAAGGAAAAGAAGAAAGAGTTAAGTATAGAAAACTTTCATCTACTAATGCAAAATAATCCCTAAATAGTTTAAAACCTCTATATACTATTGATTTAGTGCAAATAGTCCCTTAGTAGTTTAAAACCTCCATATATTATTGAGTAGAATAAATAACAGTAGTATCGTCATTTCGAATAAATTAATAAGTATAAATACAAGCTAGGTAAAATTATCATTTTATCAAATTTGTGTAGGAATTTGATTGTTTGAACAAGAATAAAGTAAACCTCGTTTGGTCTAATAATGTATGGGATAAACTAAATCAAACAACCCCAAAACCCGATATAATAAAATCCAAACCAAACTATATGCTTATTCATTACTGCTATGGATTGCTCAATATAATGAACGAGCAAACTTGGAAACACAAGTTTAGATTTAAACTCTCAATGTAGGAATTGCGCAACAATTAATGCTAAAACTGGACCTTTTACTTCTATCATTTTCAAAGGAAACAGGAACAGCAATCATCATGGGCTGACCTATATATGTGTTCAATTTTCGTTGCTACATATGCTCTTAATATCTGATCTATTGAAGACTCCTTTTATATTATTAAAGAGACACACCCTAGCTGAAAAATTAATGAGTGAGGGGAGGCTTAAGCTCACGCTCAACAGTGATGGGGAAATTTGAGGGAGAGACTCGTGCAGAGAGGCATGCTCGAATTATGGCTCCTGCACAGCTTGGTATATTTGCAATTGAGATCCTCATTGACATGAGTGTGTAAAGCAAAGTCGATAGTCTAAATTGGTGATTATTTTCTGTTAATTATACCCAAAATACAGTAATTTCAAAGAAGTTGAAGAACATATATATACACCTTAGTTATTGCATTGTGTACATTTGGTTACAGGATCATGTAATGTTCAAAATTCTTAATGTGACCAACAGAAAATGAGAGAAGATCCGGAGACAGGGAAAACAGGACAATTAACAAAGAACCCAGCCAAGAGAAGGCGTAAAAGTGGAAAATTGAAGAATGTGACAGCTTGCTTGCTTCTGTGCGAGCTCGGACAAGAAAGTGTGAAATGAAACAGAGAAATAACATTTAAATTTCTGTGGAGTTGTGGAATTTTATGTTTGCTTGCAAGTCTGCAAGGTTTTTTTTGGCTTGATGGCGAATGATTTGCAAAAAAGAAAAAAGAAAAGAAAAGAAAAGAAAAGCAGTAGTTATGGAGAGAAAGAGGGGGTTATACACATTCTGTTAGGGGCAAAATAGGAACAAAAATGGTAAAATTGGGTTTTTATATTTACTTTTTGTTAAAAATTGGTCGGAGTGACTTATTTACATTTTTTTTTTAATAGAGTAAAGTGCAAAAATCCCCCTCAACTATGTTGGAATTTACAAATAACCTCCTTGAAGTATATTTTGTGCATAAATCTCCATGAACTATCATATTTAGTTGCAAAATATTTCATTAAATGATAACAATACCATTTCTTATTGAATTACACTTAATCCATTTTTCTTATTGAAATAAATTATGAAAAAAAAAATTATACTAATTTGATGACGCATTTTCCATTAGGTAATTTATTAATTTTTCATGAATATATTGTATGAAAAAAAAAGAAGATATTTTTTATAGTATAAAAGTTTTATTATAAATAGTAAAGTTTTAATAATAAATTAATCATTTTAGAAAATGGTAGTTACAAATATATTTATTTTTTTTTTTCATTTTTTTTTTTTGATAAACTGATACTAATAATAAAAATAAGATAAATGGTATAATTTAATATTTAGATAAGAGAAAAGATAATAAAAATAGTTTTGTAAGAAATGATAAATGTAATGAAAAAAAAGACAAATAATCTTTTGTGATGAGTTTGTCCTCAATTGCAATAAATCAATAATTAGACGAGTAATTTGTAATTTAAGGAGTTATTTATAAAAATGTAATAATTTAGGGGTTCCAAAAACAAAACACTAGCTATCAACAATTCAAGCCTTTATAGTATATATACATAGATCTACTCTGTTTGGTAAAACTTTGAAATCAACTTTTAAAATATTGGGACTCGTTAAAAGCCCGTTCAACGGAAGCAACTCGGTGTTGATTTTAAAACCCACTTCTCCAATGTGAATCATTGCGATCATATAATACCATTTTATCCTAATCCCTTTACAAGTTCCGCTTCTCCAATGTGAAGCAACTCTGGTTTGTATAATACAAAACAAGCTGGCCACCAACAACCCCAGCACCACCGGCAGAGGAGTACATATTTGAGAGGCAGAGGAGTACATATTTGAGATTGAATTGTAATCGATGGAGACCATATGATAAAAAAAATATGATTACATGAGATAGTGTGTTGCTGGATGGAGTTGGAATATGTAAAGTGGTTCTTGGAAAAGTCATCCACATTCCGAGAAACATGTAATTGGGATTATTGATTTGACGCATTTGGACAAAGTAACATGCCTACTTTTTCTTTCACCCAAAATTAAATTGGTTTTATCAAATAAAGTTGGAGCTTCAACCTCAAGTGGACCCGAAATTGCTTCAAATCCCAAAGGGTCGGACCACCATAAAAAGAAAGGGCACATGGTTGTCGACCAATTGAAAAAAAAAAGTAGGAACCAGCCAATGGTTGTCATTTTTGTTTGGTTTTGTAAATGCAACGTCATTATTTAAATCTGTTTTTCAGTGGCAGATTTTAAAAATGAAAAATAATAGAATTGACCCATTTTTTAATTAAATTTATCATTTCTTATTAAATTATTTTTATTATCTTTTCTTTTATCTAAGCATTAATTACACCATTTATCTTAATTTTATTATTAATATCAATTTATCATAAAAATTAAAAATAAATAAATAGAGTTGTAACAACTATTTTGGAAAAAAAAAATATAATTAACTTATTATTAAAATTTTAGTATTTATGATAAAATTTATTATACTCAATTTAAATTTTTTTGCGGTACAAAAACTTCTTCTTTTTTCATAGAATATATTCATTAAAATTAATAAATTACTTAAATGTATGAACTTTTTTTAATAAGAAAATGGATTGAGTGTGATTTAATAAGAAATAACATTGTGGTTATTTAATGAAAAATATCTCAAACATATGGGACATTTTGTCACAAAATGTGATAGTTATTATGCATAAAATATATTTCAAAGAAACTATTTGTAAATTTATACATAGTTGAGAAGTTTTTGCACTTTATCTTGTTTTATTTGATGATGAACTATGAGCTTTTTAATATACTTTGTAAACAAAGTTATCTTATTTTGAAATTTTAAATCCTTTTTCTTTTTGTGGTTAATTACCAAACTAAAAGTAAAAATCGCCTATTAGGTAACTACACAATAAGTATAAGTGTATATATATGTTTACTTTGGAAAATTTGTATTACCAGCCTATGCGTTTGATATATATATATATATATAGAGAGAGAGAGAGAGAGAGAGAGGAGGGGGGCAATTGTTCCTGCACTGATTGATTCACTAATTTAACTTTACCCTAATCACACACACACGGTAACACATAAAAGTCACATGCACATGGCAATGCACCTGAACTGTAATTATGGGGTGGATCATTTTTCTACTCAGCATTCAAAAGGTAACCCATATATATATATATATATATATATATAAAAATAAAGGGTATATTTAATTAGTAATTCTGAAAATATAATTTTTTATTTTCAAAAAATTAAAAATTAAAGTTTTCTGATAATTATTATTTTTACAATTATTTAAAAACAGTTGAATTCAGTAGATTGAAAGAGAAATCACGACATGGATTCAGTGGATGGAAAGAAAAATTCATAGATAACAATCACAATCCTACCGAGACTCATCCAATTTTGAAGAGTGGAGCATCAATAAATTTCAATCCTAACCATTTAATTTCATAATTCAAAATTTAAGTAAATAAATGAAAATTATGTGAGACCTCTTAATCGGGTTATATCAATCAACTTCGTCTAATCATTTCAGAAAATTAAAACTCGACCTTGAATCATACATATACTAGGAAACACAAATGCCTTTTCTTTTCTTTATTTTTTCAACAGATTTTTGTAGCCAGAGGAATGCACATATAACTATCTATATATGTGTGTGTGTGTGTATATATATATATCGATTGAATAGTCAAAACTTCGTAAGTGACTAAAAGTGAAGCATAACTAATAATGCAAGGAATCGAGTGACAAACGAGAATTGAATTAAAAAAAATGGCTCCATCCGAAAGGGAAAGTGCAACGTCCCACTAAACCCTGGCGACTAACTATTCAAGCATTATCTTCCAGCTGGTTGCACGTGATTTGTATTGGATACATTCACTCTACCCTATATAGTCTACCCAAAGTCTTCGCATGAGATAAGATATTGAGTGCGACATTTATTGACACTATACCATATTTATATTAGAGTATTTTTATAAGTAAGTGACTGATTGAATTATATATTTTTATTGGAGAAGTATAGAATTTTATTTATTTATTTTTCACACTCTCACTCACACACCCACAATTATATAGTTTACTCAATATTTATTAGTCTAAGTAGTTCCGGTGGTGATTTAGTGAATCAGTGGTAGTGGGTGTTTGAGTGAGAGTGTGAAAAAAAAACAAAAAAAACATTGATATTTTCTGGTCTAAGCACACCCTCAATAATTTCCACTAAATTGTATTGTATATATCATGGGTCCTCTCTCTCTCTCTATATATATATATGATTATATGTCATGTATATGTAGAGAGAGAATTAAAGAGATGGGTTTTCTCTCTAGCTCTGTTGCCTTTTTGCTCTCCATTCTTGTCCTCCACACATGCTTATACTACAATGTAGCTACTGGAGATCCAGGAATTGATCATTCCACTAGGGAGGCACTTGAAATAATCATCGGTGGGGGTGGCATTTATCCTCCTGCTCCTGCTCCTCCTCCTGAATACCAAGACTGCCCCCCTCCTCCTCCACCTCCTGAACCCCTCTGCCCTCCACCTCCACCACCACCACCACCACCACCACCTCCTCCTCCTCCTCCTCCTCCTCCTCCACCACCACCACCACCACCACCACCACCTCCTCCTCCTCCACCACCACCACCACCGCCACCGCCACCTCCGCCGCCGCGGCGGCGGCCACGACCACCGTCAGGTTTCGAGAGCCCGCGACTGGCTTTAGTATACCCAGTAATCCAAAAATTCAAATTGAAAATCAAACACGACCCCAAAGGCATTACAAAAACATGGACAGGCAAAAACATATGCCGCGATTACAAGGGCTTCTTATGCGACACCAGGCCGGACTTCAACCTGAAGGCCCTCTCCGGAGTGAAGTTCAACGGGTTCAATTTCAGCGGCCCTGACCTCACCATAGACGAATTCATTCGCGGGTTACCGGACATAGCTTTCTTCCATGCAAACTCCAACCACTTCACTGGCACAATCCCGAAAGGCATAGCCAAGACTAAATACTTGTTCGAGCTTGACCTGAGCAGCAACAAATTCCTCGGAAAATTTCCGACCGAAGTACTCGGCGCAACCAATCTAACCTTCTTGGACCTCAGGTTCAACTCATTCTCAGGATTGGTTCCACCTGAGGTCTTCATGTTAGACCTGGATGTCCTCTTCATCAACAACAACAACTTCATTCAGAGACTACCCGATGACCTCGGCGCCACGCCGGTGCTTTATCTGACTCTGGCCAACAACAATTTCACCGGACCGATACCGGCAAGCATCGGAAAAGCTTCAAAGACCCTAGTTGAAGTGCTCTTCCTCAACAACCAGCTCTCAGGTTGTTTGCCGTACGAGATTGGGCTTTTGAAAGAGGCCACTGTGTTTGATGTGGGCTCCAATCAGTTGACAGGCCCAATACCGCACTCGTTTCAGTGTTTGTTCAAGATGGAGCAGCTGAACTTGGCCCAAAACAAGTTTTATGGGCCGGTCCCGGAAATGGTGTGCAAGCTGCCCCAACTAGTCAACTTTTCTTTGTCGTACAATTATTTTACACAGGTGGGCCCAGAGTGTAGAGAGTTGATCAAAATGAAGAAGCTTGACGTGAGGATGAACTGCATTCTGGACCTTCCGATGCAAAGATCAAAGGCTGAGTGTGGAGCATTCTTCTCCAAGCCCAAGTCCTGTCCTAATGAGAAGTCACTAAATTTGGTCCCTTGTAGTAAAAATGTAATTAGTCTCGAGTCACTGGAGTCGTTTGATCTTGAATCAACGGCTTCAGCACCTTCACCGCTATCTTATGGCTCTCTTACACCCGATAAGTTCTAATTTTATGAGATCAAAATGTACAACTATGTTACGCTCCCTTTTAATTAAAAATTTAATTATTTCTGAGTCATTGGAGTCGTTTGATCGTCAATCAACGGCTCTGATTAGTTGTAATTTTGTGAGATCCCAAATGTACCCATCAAATGATGGTCACTATGGGGTCCTGTGTTATGTGTACTTCTCTATATATATATGTATATCCGCTCGTGAATATGTGACTTTTTATTTTGCTTCCTTTTGTTGTTTGATTGGCTAGAAAGTAGAAACTGCAGAATGGGAAAAATGAGAAGGAAAATGAAAGCTAGAGAGACTCTTTCTGGTTTTGACAAAGCTTGTATGCGGACTAAATAGACACATCACATGGCCTGTTGCAATTTTCTTGGCATTACCCTTACGCCCAAAACCAACACACAAGGTGGTGGGTCCTGGGCTTTGTGCCGACAATGTTAGGGTTTGGATTAATCCTTAAATAGGTTAACTTATGCATTGATGTGAACTGATTTAAATTGATGAGATTTCTAGAATAATGAATATCTTTATATGCATTTTACAAAAAAAAATAATAATAATAATGGGATAAATTTATTTAGATATATAAAAATAAAAAAAAGATACAAATGGTAGTAGAAGACAGTGGTTGAGAATATGTATGACCCATTCACCTGTTACCAATTATAAATAAATGTAACTTTTTTTGTGTAATTTTATCTCACTTTTTGTTTATGTATTATCACAATCCTCCGTACCAATGTTTCTATTGTGTGCTGTGACAGGCGTGGGGTACAAAATAGACAAATGAAAGGACCCAGCTAGGACATAGGTGCCCGACGGCTAGGGCACGACATACACCAACAGGCCGTGAGAACTTGTAATATTCACATGGCTTGGATTACCCGATTGGCAAGGCAATGTTGATGTTGGCAATATAGCCAGATATGGCTATGGACGTACTTGTTCCATCACATGTCAGTGGAATATGACCATTTGATTTGTGGAAGAAAGGTAATGGCGCGATGGTAAGAGGAAAGCTCTCTGTTCCTGATTGTTCTGTAGCTGAATTCTTTGGAACCTTATCAAGCTCGTCGACCCAATCCACCAATTCTTGAACCTCTTGGTTCGGTTGTTCTCTCTCATTTCTCTAAGCTTCTAAATTAACCGGCTCTTCATGAGATTTATTGGATCTCTCTAACACTCTTCTCCTTTTTGAATCTTGGCCACAACTTTACCAATGGCTATATCAATCTCTCGTGTATTAGACTAATCCTTTGTTAAAAGATTTATTGAACTTGAGGTAGGATAATTTAATCTTATTTAGTTATTTTTATTAATTAGGTTTTTTTTTTTTTTTTAGTTTAATTTTATTTTAGTTTCCTTTTTACTTAAGCAATTACTTTCCTTTTCAGTAATAGGGTTTTTCTTTATTATAAATATACGTGTAATGCATGACAAAAATTCATTACATAAAAAATATATTGTTTAGGTACTGTTTGTCCAAAAATAAATTTTAAAACTTTTTTTTCTTCTTAAAAATTAATTTTTTAAAACTCTGCACTTATGGCCGTTAAGGAACTGTTTGGCTAACACAAACAGTGCTTTCATGGCTATAATTTTAAAATAAAAAAAAAATTAAAATTTTAAAACTTATTCAAAAATAATAATAATAAAAAATTCATTTATCATCTATTACAACCATTCACCTCACATCTAACCCATCTATATTCTCTACCATTTAAACTATTTCATATTCTATTTTTTCAATCTTAGCTATTATTTTCAAACTCAATCCAATATAGGAGTATGCTTACTGGAGTATCCATGTGCATGCCATGCCGCTCCATTGGGCAATTCTTTCACTCCCTGTGCATATAGTCAATAGAATTAAGCATACCCGGGAATCATCTCTAGTACTCCCCTTCTTGAAGCAGTCGTATTATGTCAGCTACTCGGCTTTGTTGGGCAGGCACATGTACTCCTTTCCATACACAACAATAATACATTACAAAATGCCTTCAAACATTTAATGATAGTGCTCTCGCCAATTTTAATATACTCATCATAGTGATAGGTTGCACGCACAACCATATGCAAGTATACGAAATATAGCAGTTAGAAAAAAGTTATTTTATTTATTTATTTTTTTTTTAAAGTGAACATTCGGAAAACATGATGGAATGTATGTTTTTGGAGAGTTAAAATTGCTGACGTGACTCTTAAAAAAGACTTAAATGATATTTTTTGAGAGCAAAATTGAAAGAGACAGTTTCGAATGTTCTTAAAAGCCAAATTCTTATTTTAAGTATGGAGCGACTTGGACTATCCAAGTCAATCCAACTTCATTTACAGAGAAGATACAAATGAATGACCAACAGGTTAGTCTTAGCGGTACCAAGTCCCTACTTCTGAAAGAGAGGCCAGGGGTTCGAATCTCTGTGGAGGCATGTGTGTGTGAGTACCCAACTAGAAAAAAAATAAAAAAAAATAAAAGATACAAATGAATGAAAGAATTATGAGCGGGCCTATGTGAAATTTGGATTTGAAAGAGTGTTGCTACATTGACCAATTTGCAAAACAATCCATACTTACCTACTCAAGACGTGGACTGACAGAGCTAGAATGAGTGTGTGAGTGTGTGTGTGTGTGTGTGTGTGTGTTTTGTATCATAATATGGGCTTGGAAAAGTGGCCACAATTTACTGATTGACAGCCGACAGGCCCCAAAAAAAACTGGGTCTGATGATAATAATTAAATATGAAATTTGTCTTTCTCTAAAGAGGGTTTGGGAGAGTACTTTTACATTACGCAATTCTGACCCATTTGATATTGGGCTTTTAACAGCATTAGCATCTTTTTTAAGAAGTTGTTACATTGACCGAAAAGAAATTGTTAATTTGTATGAAGTCTTTGTAAGGCTCGTTTGTTAATGTATTTTGTTTTTGAATTGTTACAATGTTAATTTTGACAATAAAAGTATATTTGGTACTGTCTTGTTTTATTTTACACAATTTTAAAACACTTCGTAAACAGTGATCCAAAATCAAAACACCAAAAAATTATTCTTTCTTATTTTGACAACTGTTCATGACCAAAAACAATAACAATAGCGCAACATGGACCAAAAACAAAACGTCCAAAACATTATTCCCAAACGTGCTTCCGACTTTTTTCTAAAACACTCTTACAACAAAAATATTGTTTCTATTTTAGCGAAAAACAAAACGCTTAAAACAAAACGTATGCCAAATGGACCCTTAGCCATTTGTTAAAAAAAAAAAAACATTAATATAGTGTTTTTCAGTGAATTCTCTCTATACAAATTATTATTATTTTAATATAGCAACTATTCTCTAGATAATTGTAAATTCTCATGAACTATCTTCTCTACTTTATTTTTTCAGATCAATTTTTACAGTCCGGCTTAACCGTTTTTTCAATAATGTTCTTGTAGACACTAAAATTTTAATGGATTTTTGTTTTGACAAATTGACCCATTAAATATGGGTCTAATGTTTAATTAAGTTATTTAATTGGCCCAAGTTTGATCCTCTTAAATTATTTGATTAGCCTAGCCCAGATGATTAAATGAAAAAATAATTATTTCTAATAAAATATATTTGAAATAATTATTTTTAAAGATAATTATTATAATATAACCAGTCCGGCCCAGTTATGATTTTATCCTTATCAGGACACGTGCCATCATCATATGGATCCAAGAAGCCTATAAATAGAGGCATGGAGAAAGGAGGAAGAAGTACACAAATTGAGAATTCTAGAAATCTAGAATTTCAGAGAAAAATACAAAAACTTTGCCCACATTCATCCCCAACACCCAAACCTGAAGACGAAGAGTAACAAGTACATCAAATCGTGCCGTTCTTCATCAAAATTGTACAGTGATCAATAACAAGCACATCAAATCGTGCTTTCTTTTTTAATCAAAATTTCCCTGTAATTCACATCAAATGGAATTCGAATTAGAGGACTTTATTGGATTGTATTCCTTTTATTTTTTATAAATCAATAAAATTATATTCCTTATAGTCTGCAAATAAAGAACAAAAAAGTGAGCAAAATAAATGTATTATGCAAATAAAGAACAAAATAGGGAGCAAAAAAAGACACGATTTGATGTGTTTGTTGTTGATTACTGTAAAATTTTGATGAATAACGGCATGATTTGATGTGCTTGTTACTCTTCCCCGGTTTGGGTGTTGGGGATGAATGTAGACAAGAGTTTCTGTAATTCGGAATTTTTAGAATTCTCAATTTGTGTACCTTTCTTCTTCTTCCATGCTTCTATTTATAGGCTTCTTGGATCCATATAATGATGACACGTGTTATCTCCTGATAAGCATAAAATCATAACTGGGCCGGTCCGGACTGATTATATTATTATACTTATCCTTAAAATAATTATTCTAAATATATTTTATGAAGAATAATTATTTTTTTTATTTAGTCATCTAGGTTGGGTTAATTAAATAATTTAAGTGGATTAAATTTGAACAAATTAAATAACTTAATTAAACATTAAACTCATATTTAATAAATCAATTTATCAAAACAAAAGTCCATTAAAATTTTAGTGTCTACGGTTAACGTGACCACTTATCTCGGGATGCACTATTGCACTTGGTTCAAATCTAAATTGTGTTTGTCTCTACAGTTCAATCACTCAAGTGATGTACAGCAATGTTCCTGTGTCCCCAAAAACTGACTTTAAAACATTGGATATCATAGAAGCAGTACCTAACCAATTCTAAATTTAGTTATCAACTTGACAATCGAAAAAGAAAATGACAGCCCGATACTAGTCATTGTCTCGCTCTCTAATTATCATGATTTTGTTAGTTTTAGAACAAATATTTTCTATTAATGTATAACATCAACTGTTCTTTACCAACAATTTAACAATGATAATTATCAGTAATTAATGCCACCTAAGACTCGCATGTCTACATTAAATTATAATATTTTGTGAACGATCTTGTCTCTCCCTATTCACTGTATAATTCACATCATCAACAATTTGAGGTCAACCTGTGTTCAAGGTGGACCAACACTATCCCAACAAATCTCTTACTATGAGATTTCAAGCCCTACACATGAGCTTACAATGAGATTTCAAGCCCTACACATGAGCAATGCTGGCCATAGTTAGCTCAAGTACCATCGCTTAACTATGGCCAGCATTAACAATTGTTACTCTCATTTCACAGGGAGACTATCTTATTCAAAACAGTAGGGCAAAATAAACCTATTTTTCACCTTTCACTGTAGTAATACGACGATATCAACTATTATATGGTGTGTGTTTGTAATTGTACACATTTTTTGATTATCAATAAAATTGAATATTTGTCTGTGCGTTCGTTCTGAACTTCGGTCTCAAAATTGAATGCAAATTTATGTCGTACTTTACCAAAAATGAGAGCTAAATTTAAATGATGTAAGTACTTTACAGACAATTACGTCCTTTCGTATTTACAAATCATTCAAAAATTTAAATGGACTAACAAAATATATTGGTTTTTCGTTACCCAACAAAATATCAATTGAAAAAATTGGGTACAATTATATTAACTTTGTATCATCTAAATTAGTAAATTTGAGATTCGTTGACTAGAACCGCTGACATCGATACAGGGTAAATCGTGAATTTTCAAGTCTTTTAACTGATTCTACAATAGAGGTCAATGATAGACAATCTCAATCCCAAACGCAACTTACAATTTTCATAATGTTTTTCAAGATGCAACTCTTCTCAAAATCTAACTAAAAATGTGCTGAGTTGAAATAACTAAGAATTCATGTGATTCCGGGAAGAATTAGGGTGAAAAGCTTTCTCCCCATTTTGGCTCGACTCTACCGTTGTAAGAACTCTTATTTTAAATTAATTAGTGAGTGCCTTACCCAACAAAACATCATGTGAACCTTATTGAACAAATCTAAAGAATGAGTTTCACCCAAATTGTATGCAAATTTATTTCATACTTCACCAAAAGCGAGAGCTAAATTTAAATGATGCAAATACTTTACCGTCAATTACTTGCATCCATATTCACAAATCATTCAAAAATTTAGATAAACTAATAAGTATATTAGTTTTTCGTTACCCAACAAAATATCAATCAAAAAATTTGAGTGTTTATATCATCTAATTTCACGAATGAATTTGAGATAAGAGGATTAAAACCACTAACATTTGTAGCAAGGTAAACCACCATAAAGGTCAACGGATGGACAATCTCTCCCCAAACAATGTTTTTCAAAATGCAACTCTTTTCAAAATCTAACTCAAAACGTGCTCAGTTATGGTGAGTGCCTTACCTAACAAAACATCATGTGAACCTCATTGAACAAATCTAAAGAACGAGTTTCACCCAAATTCCATGAATTATAGGGTTTTCAATACCCAACTTATTCAAGGACCGTCAATTTCTGGAATGTCTACGAACCAAATGCTTGAAGGGTGCAAGCTGCAAATGCTAAAGACCACTTATCTTTAGTACCGCTGTCCCACCACCGACACACAGTACACACAACAACATCTCTGCCGTAACGTACGCTTTAAGTCACGTGATTGTCTACGAGTGACTGCAAAGCTATTCCCTAACATGAAAATCCTTTCTAAACCAATCCCACGCAACCTAAGCTTTCTTACTTCACACGCGCCCCTCAAAACCAATCTTCAAACTCGTGCTCATTTTAATATGCAGGCGTTAGTGCTGCCTTGTAGCGGTGTATATGTATATGTACACACAGTATTCTAAAAAGTTACAGTCTATTATCCGCCTCGCTTTCCAGCATTAATCAATCCTTCACTACCGACACCCAATTCCCGGATTTTCCCACTTTTCTACTGTTTGGCATCTGAGAAAGCTGTGGAAGAATGAGAAGAGACAGAGAGAGAGAATTTTTACATGGTCCTTGCTTCAACTCACTCCAAATGCATTAAGTATTAGGCTTCCTTGGTTTAAAACTTCAAAAAAATCTAAATCTCCCACATTTTATCGGGAAGAGAACACAGCTAAAATTTGACCACCCAAACTTCATATCTCATAAGCCTGGTTTATATTTGCTGGGTCCCCAACAAAATAGTAGTAAAATTTTCAAATTTTTTTGAAAAAATTCCACCTTTTCTATGGTAACAAACACACCTAAAAATTTGAACACCCAGAACTTGATATCTCATTACTGGTTCTTTAAAGTAGAACCTTTAACTGTTTAAAGTTTAAACTATCAACCTTTCAAAATTACACCATACCTTAGTGGCGGAAAAGTACCAAAAGAAAAAGAAAAAGAAACAAAAAAGCAAAAGAGAAATATGTAATTATACAAGTAATTAATCACAATGTTCATCTCAATCATCAATCCATGATGATCTTGATGTTGGTGAAGAGTTTGGACAAAATTCGGAACTCTTAGAGTCCATCTTCTCCACCACAAAATGACCCAACGAGTCCACAGACTCAACCAGGTTCTCTCTACACAAGAACTCATCACTGCAAACTCTCTCCACCTCTCTATCAACTTCGTGCACAAACACATTCGTCTTGCCCGCTTCCCCGCCGCTTCTTTTGCTCCTCGCCAGCACTCCGGCGGTGAATATCGCCGACATTCTCCCCGGCGCCGCCGGAAAGTACCCGCGTGGCCCGTCCACCAAAATCACGTCCCAACCCACTTCGTATATGTGATTGGGAAGATCGTTAATCCCCAGTTTGCAGTCCGAGAAGAGGAGGTTTTGCACAGGACGACACTCGTTTCGAAGTTGCTCTCTTCCATATTCGAGAAGATCGTACATGTCGCTCACTCTGGTCGTGAATTGAACATCGTAAGCTTCGATTTCTGGGTTTTGCTCTTCGAGTTTGGAGACCAGGTAAGCGCTTTCGTCGATGAAGACTGTTCGTCCTTTAAAATTGAGCGATTTCCAGAGGAGGGTTTCGTGGGTGAGCCCGAAAACGAGGAGGTTGCAGGGGGCGGCGCAGCGGCGGAGGACGGCGGCGATGTAGTGGAGCTCGGCGGAGGACATCCGGGCTGCGGTGGAATTGGCGGTGGCGGCGTAGTGGAGGAGGGCGTCGAAGACGGGTTTGGGTAGTGCGGAGGAGGCGGAGGTGGCGGCGGTTGCGGCGGAGGGGACGGCGTCCCTGGTGGTGATGAGAGTGAGAGTAAAGGCGAACATGAAGAGAGAGACGAAAACGAGAAGCCACGTGCGGTGAGGACCTCCTTGTCTGTTTATTGAAGGGTGGAGCACTATAAGCTTCGTGCTGGTCTTCATTTTAGAGAGAGAAGAAAAAACTTAGAGAGAGATAGACAGTGAGGGTGAGGACTGAGTTTCTCCCTCTAGGGTTTCTTTTTAGTTTCTCTCACTAGGAAAGTGAGAGTGAAGAGAGATAGAGAGAGAGAGAGAGAGAGACGAGATGATGGAGGGGATTTGAGGATGGCACGTATCATTATCACATGATGTGCGTGATTGGGATTCTGGATTGATGATGGAGGATGGAGATGTGGGTTCTGGTAGATGGATGGTGGGACCGTGCAATAAAGGAAAGGACCGACTAACCGGAAATTCAAACGGCGTCGTTGTCTGTACGCGCAAGGGGAGAGAGAAATCAGCAGCAAATTGATGAGAGACTTCATGAGCTGCAATTACTTCTCATAATTACCAACATGTAAAGGCAATTTGTAATTAATTACATTTACAGGTTTTTTTATTTTCCACATTTATTTATAGGTTTACTTTTGCAGTATCGACATTTATATATGTACATAATCGTTTATAAATTGTAATCTGTTTGTGTTGGTTGACAATTTTAGCTTGTAATTTAAGTATTATTGAAGAATTCAAATTGTAATCTCATAGAAAATGGAGATTCAAATGCATAATCATTCAATTCTTATCATACAATTATGTTTTCTTTCATTTGTGAAGTACTCAACTAACTTACGAAGTTATCAATGCTAGTCAAGACAAACTCAAGCACTTCAAGGAAAATAAAGGAAACTTGTGCAATAATTCAAAATATTACATTTACCACCCCAAAGAAAAAAAAAAAAAAAATTAAAGTATAATCACACCTCATGAGGTTTGGTAAAAGAATATTTAGAGAAAATTTACCTATTTTTTGGACAAAAACACCCCTTAAAGGTTCAAAAATGGACAAAGACACCCCTATATATGAGAAATTGACCAAATTACCCTTTGACAGTTTAAGAGACTTTTTTAACTTTATAATTTAATAAATTGGATCAATCTACCCTCATGAACAATTTATGTATAAAAAAAAGTAACAAAAAAAAAACTTTATATTGTTTACCTTTTTTTTTTTTTTTTTTTTGTTATTTACTTTATAAATGTCCTAACTTCTAAAAAATTTAAACGTCTAAAATGATTTTTTTATCCAATACATATATTTCAAATAAATTATATTTTGTTATTACTTCTTTGCTTTTTTAAAAAAAAAAAATTAAGATGCTTAATTCTTTCATTTAAAAAAATTAAACCAATTTTTTTCCTTAAAAATAAAAAATATGATATCAGTATAACTTTATGTATCTTAAATTATATATCAAATATTATGCATTTCCCAACATAAAAAGGAAAAAAAATAATAATAAAACAAAGGGAAAAAAACAAAGGCATACATAAAGTTTTGATGATACCTATTTTCTTTTATGTTAGAAAATGTATAATATTTTATACATAATTAAAGATGCATAAAGTTATATTGGTACCATATTTTTTAATTTTAAGGAAAAGAGATTGGTTTAATTTTTTTAGATGAAAGAATTAAGCATCTTAATTTAAAAAAAAAAAAAAGAAAAAGAAAAGAAGTAATAATAAAATATAATTTATTTGAAATATATGTATTGAATCAAAAAATCATTTTAGACGTCTACATTTTTAAGAAGTTGGGACATTTATAAAGTTAAAAAAAAAAAAAAGTGTGAACAATATAAAGTTCTTTTTTTTTTTATACATAAATTATTCATGAGGGTAGATTGGTCCAATTTATTAAATTATAAAATTAAAAAAGTCTCCTAAACAGTTAAAGGGTAATTTGATCAATTTTTCATGTAAATGGGTATCTTTGTCCATTTTTAAACCTTTAGGGGGTGTCTTTGTCCAAAAAACAGGTAAGTTTCCTCTGAGTGTTCTTTTGCCAAACCTCTAGGCGTGTGGCTATACTTTATGTATAAAAAAAAAAAAAAAATTAATTTCAACGACACCTCCTTAGATTTGGCCAAAGATCACCCTCAAATATTTTTTGAAAATAATTTTCATTTAGATCCATTTTCACTTTTTCATCACAATCTTCGTTAAAAATATATAAAATGACAAATTTACCCCTAATTTTAAAATATAATTTATCACCAAATATCAAATTACTTAAATGATCATTATAACCTCATTATTACACCCACCTGCCACCACAACCCACACACCCACGCCACGGACTTGCAGCCCCCACCACCATCTCCACTTCCACAACCACTATTGTCATCCCACCTCAACAAGGACCACCACCATCACAATTTGATGAATGTATAATCACAAACTTTCTAATCACAAAATGCATCACTTTACAAACAAGATCCCCAGCTTAAATATATATATCACCACACACACACACACACACAAAGGGATATATCACCATAAACTCAGAGGCCCACAATTACCTATCATCGTCATCATCACCAGTTCTAATTAAACCCTTCAATTCACAATCTGCATTGAGAAGATGAGTGGTTGTATTCAGCACTAGAGAATCAAAATGGTTGTCTCTTCCTATAGATCGTTGGACAGTGGTGGTTTGGTGGGAATGGAGACGCCAAACCAGATATTACAGATGGAGTCGACGGTGACGTCCGAGGTCTTGACGCCTTTCGCGGGGAAGAGGTCACCGGATTCTGGCGATGATCCGATCATTTTCTGAAACAACAGGCATAACTCGTTGTTTAGAGACCCTTAATAGCGGTTGTCGCCATCTATTGCCGCAACCCTTGGAAAATGACAAATTCCGTACTAAGTTCATTTCTTCGTCGCGTCATCACCGTTCACCACCACAATAACCATCTATCCACAATGATTGATGTCAATTGTAAAACACGGGAGAACTTACTTCTCTTAATTTTGGAACTAACCTAACTAGATTCACAATCTGGTATCAAATCAAAAGCATATTCTCACATATCTGTGTTTGATTGACCATAATTTTTTTGTTTTCACTGATTGAACCGAATTTCACAAAACAAAGTCGACATCTCCGGCGACCCTAATGACATCTTCCTTAACCAAGCCAACCGTTGACGTTCATCGTGCACTATACACAGATATCCACTTGCGACAAGATAAGTATCATTCTAGATCTGATTATTTGACTTGGGCTCGAGGCTCTGTGTGTGTTGACATCTCGAAGACGGATGATGAATTTGGGTAAAAATTACTTTGTTTTAATTTTGGAGGTTGGGTTATAGAATCGGTGGTGGTGGCGGGGAGAGAAAAGAGCGGTATTGTGGTGGGGAGAGAGAGGGAGGAATAGTGGTGGTCGAGAGAGAGAGAGAAAGAGAAAGAAATTGTGATGGTGGTGGTGGAGAGAGAGGAACGATGGTGGTGGAGAGAGATGGGAGTATACATGTTTGTGTGTAATATATATATATATACACATTCCATCTTTCGTTGGTTGAATTAGCCCCTACTTATTTTTTTTCCTAATTGGCTCTCTTTCTATATATTATATTACTTGATCTTAGAACAGTGTGTATATATATATATATGTTTGTGTGTATATATAATATATATGTCTGTGTATATCTATATATATAATTTGTAAATTTATAAAATTTTATGAATATTTTAGTCTTTTAATTCAATAGTTTAGGTTAAAGAGTTGTTTTGACAAAGTTAAAGGATACGTAAGTTATTTTATATGGTGTCAGAACTGTTCAACTAACGATTGAAGTGTGAGTGAAAAACGGAGTAAAAATTTGTAACGTGAGTGATAGTTATTTTTGAAAGATATTTGGGGTGATATTTAGTTAAATTTAAAAGTATTAGGGAAATTATATATATATATAATATGCCAAACATGTCTAATGATTCGATATATTGTCAGGTAATAATGGGAGTGAAAACACTTTATATTCTCAGGTAATAATGGGAGTGAAAACACTTTTTAAGTGGTTTAATATATATATATATATATATATATAGAGGTGTTTTTGTGTCAATCATATGAATCGGTTGCTTAACCCTGATCAGAGGATAGTTAAAAACAAAAATCCTGATTTAAAATTGAATTGAGTGGTGGGAAGCAAATGTGCCTTCCCATCAAGAAACAGCTTTTGCAAAGATTAATATTTTAATTATACCGCTAACTATTCACTTAATCTTTTTCTTTTTCCCAAACACAATGTTATATGTTCTAGTCAAAGGTAGGCATAATGTGATTGGCTTGTTGGACAAAACATAAAAGGTGTCCTTAGTCTACACGCACACACACATATTTGTCACCTTAGTCTACAACTAGAGAGGATTTGGCCTGCCCTTTTCATTCTTTCACTACATTTTTAAAAAGAGGTCACGAGTACTATGACATAACTATGGTTTAGTATATAGTCGATTGATTCAATCATTAAAAATTGTGATTCGAAAATTAGCTAAATAATTTGAATTTAAAAGAAGTTCACATGTGCATGATATTTAAAAAATGTTCACATGTGTATCATATTCTTCTCTTCAAAAAATAAAAATAAAAATTAAATTGACCAAGTGTTGTTAACACATGCATTTCATACTTTTTTAATATTTACACATTAACGAAGTTTTTCCTTTTTAAAAACAGCTAAATATCACACTTATCTGTTTTGTTCTTATGAAATTTGAACTATTAATCTTCAATTTTACGAAGTTCATTGAGATATGACAAAGTGTGGAGCAGGATGCCAAGCTTGGGCCTCCTGAACCATGATCCTAATTCCTACTTGGGCCTTAATCAAGTCCAACTAGTATTTGGACTTATCCCAGACCCAGCCTGTAAAATTTCGAAACCAGCCATTTTGTAGATGTTTTATTATCATTTTTTGAGTTAATTACAATCACACCCTTTGAGGTTTGTCGTATTAACAGTAAAATGATAATTAGTTAATTTTTAAACAATCACACTCCTCAAGTTTAGTAAAATTAACAAAGACTTCCGATAAGCTCTTTCTAACCCAGACACTCAATAAAATGACCTAAATACCCTTAACTTGTTAACAACTATATTTATATTATAAAATGACTTGAATGCCCTTACTAACTAATTTTAATGTCCAAGTATCCAAAAAAAACCTTAATTTATTTCTCTGGCTTTATTAACGGAACACATCAGCGCAAAATAGTCAAAATCGTGTGTGTGTATCTATATATATATATATATATATATATATATATAGAAAGTGACAGATTCTCCATCGATCACAAACTGATTCCATATTCAAAAAAAATAAATTTCATATGCAATTATATAGATCTCATGTATCCAATTCCAATCACATCATTATTAGCACGTTAAATTCGAAAAAGTGAATAACAAAATCACGAAGATTAACACCATTACAATAACACATACATGATATAAATCTAGAAATAGAGAGCATGACAGAGATCAAAAAATAAATAAAAAAGAAACCCAAAAAAAAGAAGATAAATGAAGATTTTAATTAAATGACAAAGATTTATAAAATTTAAATTTAAATTTGAAAATTTTCAAAAGAAAAATTCAACCTTGCTTTGAAATATCTAGGATGATCATCAATGAGAAACAACATAGAGTTAAACCAGACCAAACAAAACCAAAATTCACTCACAGTGTTGAAGAAATGACAATTCATATTTATAACCCAATTTTGTTATTGATTAGTTATCAGTTTTTTATTGTTTTCCCTCCGGCGATGCCAACCGGTGACGCCATCAACTCCGCTGCCAACAACGGTCAACTTCCAGCCGCACCCACCACCGCCGCGTGGCGTATTTCACCGCCGACGCGAAGAAATCATCGGAATTTGTGGTAAACGGAGTTTGTGTTGAGGATGACAAAAACGGCCACCGCTAATCGCTGCTCTAGTACCTGTTGCTGCGGAAATAAGGGGCTGAGATTCCGGAAACGTGGCTGTGTAAGGTGGATGATTTGTTGTCGACGGTGTGTACGATCGCGGGGTCTCTGATACCGCAGAGGAATATGAGCCGTCTGATCTTTGGAGCTCTGGTGATGTTGGTGGCATTCTCGGTGGTTCCTCTCTGAGAAGGTTAGAGAGAGAGAGAGAGAGAGATGCCCGGATGGGGTAGGTGAGATCTGTTGCCAATATGTGAAGGGCAAAAGCGTCCTATCTGAATTTTGGTATTTTATAATTAACATCAATTAAATATTGAAGGGTAATAGAGTCTTTTTCTTACTTTTTAGGAACTGTTTGGCTGCAACTTCTGACAGGAGGTGTCAATGTTAAAAAAGAGACTCAACCTTATTTTTTTGCAGTTGTTAGGGTAACATGAACATTTTCTTCTCCCGGCTCAACCTACTCAGTCTGTTCAGTACAAAAACAAAAAAGGAATTATTGAAAATAAATTATAACAGACAGTGAAGAAAGTCAGTCAACCAAAAATGAGGGCAATCGTGTCACCTAAGATATAAAATCGACCAAAAATGAGGACAATTGTGTCACCTAAGATATAGAATCGAATGAAAAATGCTTCGTCTTGTAAATCCACTATTATTTACGAAATAGTGAATATTCATTACGCGGATACTTATAAATGGTCCTTGAGAAGCAATTCACACACTCTTGGTATCATGGAAAAATGAGAGTGAAATTGTTATTTATTGGAGACCATTTCATACCAGGTACAAATATGATATATTATATTCATGTAATGTTTATATATATAATATATAAATATTAAAGTTAAATAAATATTTATATTCCTGTGGGATCCGCATGAATTTTAAGTCAATATAAATATCTTAAGAGTCATTACACAGACTCATTCTCTCTCTCTCTACTGCGTCCAGTCTCCTATCCGGCATTTCCTTTTTGGGTCGTTAGAATTCATGTCACAGTTATTATAATGACAGATATATCCAGATAATTGTACCAGAGGGGTGATTTTAAAAAATAATATTAAATAATGTGGTCTCATTAAAAATTGAGTGGTCCATTCCTAGTTATTACATACTGATCAATGTCACAAAATTAACATATGGCAGAGACACTGTTGAACAGTACATATTGTGAAGAAGGGATTTGAAAGATGATCAAAAACCAACAAACACAAAGAACAAAAATAAAAGCAACTTATACATGGGTGATGTGAGTTTTAAATCTTACTTGCTTCAAGAACGCAATAGGAACTCAATTCTTCTATCAAAGCATTCAAATGACAATAAGATGATCCACCTTCTTCAACAGCCCTAATTGCCTTACCTTTCATCGCCATTGCTCGGCTTCTCATCTCCTCAGCTTCTTCGCCCACCATAATCCGCCTCACTGCCTCCTCTATCGCTTCCCTCATCACGCCGTCAGTCACAGCACTGTTCCATTGCTGAGCACCAACACCAACCCCAATTCTCAAAACCTCAGTCACCAACTTTTCATTGAAGAACTGCTCCGCAAACATGGGCCATGTCACCATTGGCACCCCAGCACACACTCCTTCCAGCGTCGAATTCCATCCACAGTGTGTCACAAAACCCCCAATCGCTTCGTGTTCAAGAATCAACACTTGAGCTGCCCATCCTCTTATTACTAGTCCTTTCCCTTCCATTCTCTCCTCAAATCCTTTGGGCAACCAGTTTTCATTTCCTTCTTGATTCCCTCCTTTCCTCACAACCCAAATGAATTGTTGTCCAGAATTTTCAAGCCCCATTGCAATTTCACACAACTGGGAAGTACTAAACTTGGCTATACTTCCAAAACAAACATAAATAACCGAATTGGGCTTCTTCGAGTTGAGCCAATTCAGATAGTACTCATGTTCATTAATAGATGCTTTATTTGATCCTCTACATGCTTTATCTTCAAACTCCGTATTGCAAAGCGAAACCGGACCAATATGCCACGCTTTCCTTCCAAACACCTTGCTGTAATGATCAGCGTAAGCTGGTTCAAGATCATAGAAGCTATTGACTATAACTCCATAGCTTGCCAACTCACACTCTATAGCTTCACTTACCAACTTGTTAAAGTCTGTTTGGCTATCTTCTTGATCATCATGTTCTGCAACTGCAATTTGCATTGCAGTTAACTCTATTTGGTGTGGAAGATTGGGGATGACAAAGGGTTCGGTCCAAGATGAGAATTTGGTCATATGAGGCTTGTAGAGTCTCATGCTCTCTGAAGCACAGGCCGCGAAAAAACTTGTTCCGTGGAAAGCTATACGCGGAATATCAAATTTGGCTGCAACTTTGGTTGCCCACGGAAAGAAAATGTCGGCGACTAGGCAATGGGGCTGCTCTTCTTGTAGGACTTGCTCGAGTGGCTCTTGGAGCATGATGGTGGCCCTTACGAAGTTTGGAGTCATGTCGTCGGAGATTTGGCCCGCATTTTCAACTCCTGCCGGCAAGCCAGCCTCTAGAGTAGGGAACTTGATGACACGGATGTTGATTTCAGTACACAAATTATTGGTAGTGAAGATAGGGGCATTGAGAGGGGTGGTGACTATGGTGGTTTTGACACCACGAGACGCGAATAGTTTGGCCATGTCTAGGGTTGGTATCATGTGGCCATGGGCCATCAGTGGGAAGAACAACACATGAAGCGGAACCATTGAAGCAAGTGAGGAAGAGTTGAAGATCTGAACTAAGAAAAAAGAAGAAGAAAGAAGCTGATCGATTTCTTGTTGAGCGTTTGACCAATGACAATGGATACATTGTTTCGAGAATTTAAATCAGAGCAGAGGCCTATTTGCACCCAGACTTGTCTAGGGACCATCTAATAATTCCTCTGAAAATTTGGTTGGAGGGTGAGGGAAGGATGCTTACTTAATGATGTCAAGGTCATACATTTAAAATGGGAAACAATCCTATGTACTTAGGTAAAGTGATTAATGACAATAGTTTCATACACTAAGTTTATTTTTTTATTTTTAAAATTTTTTGACTTGGTAAACTTGAGCATGCCAAGAGAAACATATTCTATTCCATATACATTACCATTGCTATACATAAAAACTTATTTTGATAATACGATATTGTTCCTTTGAAAGTGTAATACTAATTAATTCGAGAATGAAATATGCATATATATATTTAGCTATTGACATTTTGGACGTAAATAGGTGTTACATTTGCAAAATATTGTATGTTATTGAAGTAACAATCTGTCTGATTATATTGTTTTGATACACTATCATAGATTCATAATATAATATTGTTGTTTTTGGGAACATTGATTCGGTACTTTATAATTAAATTCGAAAGAAAATTAATACAACTTTTAAATTATTTTTTTTTTAATTTCAGTTGTAATATAGCGATTCAATATTTTCGAATATAACATATAGGTATGTCTATGAGATCGCTATGAGAGGTACCACAACAATTACTCAATTTATTTATTTATTTATTTTTATCCCTTCAGCACATAATATCATGTCTCGTAATTAAAAATTACATATAATAGAGCTCAATAACGATCCACAATCAACGAAATGGTCAAAGTCAAAGAGATCTTCTAGTTGACTTCACAATATAAATGACCCTCGTATATCTGTAGAAATTAAAGACGACCACTGATAAGTCCGTATAGCAATTTTCTGGTTGTTTACCCTGAATGTATAACCGATATAAAAAGAACAGCCCAACCTTAATTTATGTACAGCTGGAACTAAATTCTTCTATCAAATCATTCAAATCGCTTTAAGATTTTTCTATTTTCACTTCACCTACCATATACAATTCACTAATTCACTGCTTAGCCACAAATTATTGCTTTTCTTATCTGTTGTACTGGAATGATTTAAGACAAAAGAGGGAGTTTAAATTAAAAAAAAAAAAATTATTTACCATAGTTTCCTGTATAAAAATATGGTACGATAGGAATATTTGTTGGAATTTTTATATATATATTTACATAATAAAAATTATTTTATAGTGTATTACGTTTTCTAAAATAAGATTGCAATGTGATTATTGATACTTGATGGATTGGGTTGTACTTTTTAATTTGGTGGTCTAATTGGGAGTATGGTTTTATACCGTTAGATTGTGGTTTTCCAACTTATTTGATGAGACTTAGATATACTTCTTTATACAGAAGTCGTCCTCCCCTTGTTGTTGTTATATATAAGGGTTTTAAAACCCTTATTCAGTCTTATCGTATTGACGACTTTCAGAAGGCTAATTTTTTTTTTCAGATCTCTCAAAAGGCGCTAAGGAATTCTCGAAGGTATCTAAAGTTGAATTTTCTAATCAGGTATGATATCTAAATTACTCTTTAATTAATTACAGTATATTTGATTTCTACATGAATTATTGAAATAAAACCCAACAATTGGTATCAGAGCCAAGTTAGGATTTGTAGAAATCAAAATATGTTATTGATTCATATTTTCGTGGGTGAGTAATTAATTCTTCGGTTTAAAAACAAAATAAACAAAATACTTTATATAAAGTATAAATAATACTTTATACTTTATGATTAACATTTTGTCTTTTAATGAATTGATTATTGTTTTGTTTTAAGCAATCAATTTATTAAAATCAATTTGTTATATAAACAAAATACTTTATATAACAATAAATAAAGTAGTACACAGATTGCTATCAATTTGTTTTGTGATCAAATTGTGCACGCCGAACGAGATTCTTGTCCATCAATTTCTTGTGCAATCAGTTTGTATGCAAACATATATGGGTATGTAAATTGCAAGTATATAATGTCATTTGAGTATAGCACGTAGCTGATTATTAATCATCAATCCGTCAATATGTAGACGAAGCTTCTCATCCATCCGCACTTTAAAAGTTGCTAAGAATAATAGAGGGACTGCAACATTCAACATGCCATAGATTTGGTTCCAGGGGCACCATTACGAAACCAGCAGCATATTGAATCCCTCTAGCGCACCAATTTGAAATGAGAAGGCAAGCAAAATACCTAATTGCAAAGGGACTACACTATATATAAAACAAATGCATTGATTTTAATACACAAACTATTTATTTAAATATTATAATATTATATTATGATGAAAGCTTGCTAAGAAACACTAGTCCTACGGATGCATATATAGGTATGAATACATAATTAATTCATGGGTTAGAGATGTACATGTACAAGTGATGTAAATCTTTTCTTGCCCACATATTTGACTGATTGGTTTTGTGAGCAAGCCTTTGTATTGTGAATATATATGTTTTGAATATATATATATATATATATATATATATATATATAGATATGCAAGATTGCATGTTTAGTAGTGCGATTAACACTAAAGAACTAAAGAAATATATATATATATATGAAGTTTCTACTTTCATGAATTTAAAATAGATTAGTTTATTTGAATGTGTTTATACATTCACGCATCAAATGCATAAATGGTCAATGAGGTATTAAAGTATGACTTGTTTTTTGCCTAGTTGATGTCAGGTTTAGAATTTTAATTCATGTTATATTACATGTAATCAGTGACCTTTGAGTGGGACATGAGGTTGTGTGCCTATTTAGTCACATTGAGTAATTAATGATACTTGTTCAATTTTAAGTTGAAAACTTATGGGAGCTTGCGTGCCATAAGTAAGTATTATTAACCTAATTGATTTAAAGATTCAAAGTACTTTAAATTGTTTGTTGGATATATAATATACATGCATCAAGTTTTGTTATTTTATTTTCATTAAAGTATATATATAATTGAGATTTTAAATCTTGATTGATGTGCATGTTATTATTATATTGTTCACTGTAATTTCTTAAGATGTATGAGGAGGCTTTATTTTATTATTTGTATTAAAGCCATTTATATTACAGTGAAATCAAGTGTTTCTTAATATTTAGGTTTAGTTTATGTGCATTATAAAGAAGTTGTTGAACTTAAATAAATGGAACTTCTGCAGTATGGGTTTTTCCTTGGGGTTTAGGAAGACCGGTAAAGTGACTGTTTCAAAGGTAATAGCTAAAGTGGGTGATGTCTGCCAAAAGGTGACACACTCATGGAGGTTATTATTTTATTGAAATTTTCAGACATTGGTCTTATTGAGGTCTCACAGTACACTTACCTACATGAGGGCATTTGTTCTGCCAAAAGGTGATCAATGTCTTAGTGTGGAATAAGTGAGTAGAATATTTGAGTGCTTGGATTATAACTAAATAACCCTCTTACCAAAAGGTAGTGGAAGTGTTTAGCAATAATTCAAGTATAATCAAATAGGTCAATGTGCGATATGATCGCAGGTTTGGGGGTAAAATAAAATCTAAAATTCTGCCAAAATGTGATTTTTAGATGGCATTTTATTTGTTCCCGCGGGGTGGATGGTTTTGCACATAGTAAAACACCCTGATAAATTCAGCTTAAAACCCCAAGCACGAATTAAAGTTATAATCCCTAAAGCTGAGATATATTACTATATGTTGTTTATGTGATGTTATTCAATATAACATTTATTCAGGTTACAGACGCTTCCGCAATTTAAAGATATCTTATAGGGATTGAACCATTGAATGGTTAAAATTATACTGCCTAGAAGACAAGTTTTGATATTATATTGGATTTCTTGGACTACGTGTCTGTTGTTTTAGAAAGAAACCCATATGCCCAGTGTATTGTCTTCTTAGGTAGAAAAGTTGTTGCATTTTTTAAGTGAACTACAGATACTACCAAGCCATTAGATTAATTTATACTTCTATTGGTGATACTATTCAGGGTGGTATTCTAGTTTTGATATTGCCAAGGAGCTTCTTGATTTGATCAAGAAAGAGTTAATGGGTATTAAAAAGTAACTACAATACTATTATCTGACATGGATTATGTTAGTGAGATATGATAGTAATGGTTCAGTGAGGGAGTACATCTATAAGATGTGCAAGTTGGTTAATGATCTGAGGTAGTAGAGAATCATATTTGCTAATAAGTTAATTAGTCTACATGGTGATCTATTCTCTGCTTAGGTTTTTTCAGCTTTTCAAGATAAATTATAATTCACAAAAAGTTAAATGTGGCATTAACCAGCTGTTAGCATTTTGTGTTATTGAATGGAAACGACTCAAGGGTGTTAAAACTGAGTCAGCTTATCTTGCGGTGATAGTAAGAATAGTTTCATGAAGAAATTAGGCGGCAAGAAAGTGAATAAGGCTAAACAGAATAAAAACATTAATCATGGAATGATAAATGTTGATCATGTAGAAATAAAAGGATATCAAAAGAAAAAGGTTATTGTGGTGAAAAGAAAAACAAAGCAAGAAAGAAAATTACCATATTAATATTTGAGCCTAACTTGGTAAAAATATAGGTATAAACATGGTGGGTGGATTCAGGTGTGATCCTACTTGCTTCTTGTTTTTCAATTGACTCGATACCATTCGAATAAAATCGTGTTTTGGTCAGAGAGGATTCATCTATGTTATACATAGGATCTTGGGGAATGTCTTTCAAAAGAGATTTGAACGCTTGGTCAAGGATGAGATTATTAGGCCACAAATTTTATGCGTTGGTTGTGTTAAAGGACAAATGCTAAGAAACGCAATTTTGAGGCTAGTCGGTCATTTGGTTTTAGACTATATTTATACTGACATTTGTGGTCCATTTCTTATTGTAGCTCGTTTGCAGCAAAGGTATTTCATTGTCTTCATTGATTGGTTCTCAAGGTATGATTGTGTACTTAATCCACCAGAAGTCCGAAGCACTTGATGTGTGTAAAATCTACTAGACTAAAGTTGAAAGTAGTTGGTATAAAGATTATGGTTTTAAGATCAGACTAAGGTGGTGAGTTTTAATGAGAGAATGATAAGGAAGGTGTAAATAGTTGTATTTTTCAATACATACTTAAAGAGTAAGGTAATGTGCCACAATACACCATTCTTAGTTTTCCTGAACAGAATAAAGTTGCAGAAAATAGAAAGTGTAGGGATATCTTATAGAGACATAGTTATATAATGCAGATATTAAGGAGCTTAACACTCACATTACCAATGATTATTTCATTAGACATCTTAAAAGATTAAAGAATTCGAGATTTTACTGTCCTGTAGACCTATGGGGATTATTGGAATATGTCATGCATATGTAATGAGAGTGGTGAATCCAGTGGGAGTTTAAGATATTGTAGTTTCTTTTTGTAGAAAGGTATTTTCAGCATCTGTTCTATTTATTCCAAGCTTCATTCCACTTTCTTTAGTGGTTTCAGTTAAAGCTCATATTCCTACCTTTCAGTTATTTCTCCTTTGTAGACCTTTCTTTCAGTTTCCAATCTAGTTCCTAAGCCAGTTTAGCTTAGGAGATTTTCTAGAGCTTGGAAGTATACTGTAGTTGGTAATTTTGATATGTCTGGTGGATATAAGAAAAAAAAAAATTGATGGCTAAGTGCTTAAGCAAAAGTTAAGTGTTGATTTTTTTTTGAGATTTTCTCTAGCTTAATTAAACGACTTTTTAAAAGTCATTCTTTCATTATCACTCATTTATGGATTAAGTAAAGTTTAAAGCAGTAGTATCCAAAATTTTGATACAATGGTAATTAATTGTAAGTTCAAAGAGAATGTTATGGATAAATGCATATACCTCAAGTTCAGTGGCAGTCATTTTGTTTTCCTTGTCCTATATGTTGATGATATTTTACAAGGTAGCAATAACATTCATGTGATACATGATATTAAGAATTTTATGTAAAGTTTTGACATGAAAGACATGGGTATGCAAAGTATGTCATTGGCTTTAGAATCCACATAGATCATGCTACTGAAATATTTGGACTTTCTCAAAAGGCTTATATTAATTAAGTATATGAAAAATTTTAACGGTGACCAACCGTAATAAGCCCATTGACATAAAGTTTATTTTCAAGCATGAGAAAGTTAAGGTTTAAGTGCCTTTAAGATTTCCCCATATGGGTATAGAAAGATTGTTACATGTCCTCTCATTAAAGGTCTTCAGCCAAAGATAATAAAGTATTTATAAAGCATGTGATTCGGATAGGTGTTCGAGAGTTATTATGTTATGATGTCCGGTATTTCTTTTATATATGCTACATTGCAGTTAGTTTGTTTACGCCTTATGGTGACAGTTATTTGCATCCAAAATAAAGTTATGATGCATAATTATTATTATCTTGATATACATGGTTTATGCACGTGCTATCATGTTTGCTTGGAGTGATATTTCACTCATGAGGTTGTTTGGGTTAGATGTGAGATTGGCACCACATCGATAAATCAAAAATAATTATTAAAGGTTGTCTGAGAGTGATAATTCACTCATACGGTTGTTTGGGCTAGATATGAGATTGACGCCATATCGGTAAATCCAAATATAAGATTTGTCTGGGAGTGGTATTTCACTCATGAGGTTGTTTGGATTAGATGTGAGATTGACATCAGATTGATAAATCTAAACATAAATATTAAATTTTGCCTGTGGGAGTTTTTCACACTCCATGAGGATAACTTGGGCTAGATATGGGATTGACTCCATATCGGTAAACCCTCACATTGAATAGAAGGTTGGCGGTTTGCTGTAATATGTTCAGGTGGCATACCGCGATGGTATGAAGTAGGATGGATAGCTTGGGCTAGATATGGGATTGGCTCCATATCGGTAAACTCTCACACTGAACAGAAGGTTGGTGGTTTGCTGTAATATGTTTAGGTGACATACCGCGATGGTATGAAGCAGGACTGATAGTGAGGTGTGCGTTTAGACCCCATGCAGTTTGTACATCTCATGAAATACAGTAAAACCACTATATTTGCTTGAATCCTAGATGGAATCAGTTTTGAAACCATGGAACTGTTTAGACTAATATATTACTTGTCTACGCATTCATAATCCACTATTGAGGAAATTTATGGAGGAGAGTGTTCTAAAGTTTCAATCCATCAATTTCGATAATTGTGTTTTCTAAATAAAAATGAGTGGCCACTCGACTTTTATAAAGTGTGTTGCAATCCACAGTGTCACTTTATAAAACTTAGAATGCATGGACCAAGTGAGAGATTGTTGGAATTTATATATATATATTTAAATAATAAAAATTATTTTATAGTCCTATGTACTACGTTTTCTAAAATAGGATTGCAATGTGATTATTGATACTTGATGGATTGGGTTGTACTTTCCAATTTGGTGGTCTAATTGGGAGTATGGTTTTATACCGTTGGATTGTGGTTTTTCAACTTATTTGGTGTGATTTAATTTTAACCATTGATATCTAAGTTTCCATGATAGGAAGGGAGACTTAAATATGCTTGTTTGTAGAGAAGCCGTCCTCCCCTGTTGTTGTTATATATAAGGGTTTTAAAACCCTTATTCAGTCCTATTATATCGACGACTTTCAGAAGGGGGTAAAGCGCTCTAATTTTTTTTCAGATCTCTCAAAGGGCGTTAAGGAATTCTTAAAGGTATCTAAAGTTGAATTTTCTAATCAGGTATGATATCTAAATTACTCTTTAATTAATTACAGTATATTTGATTTCTACATGAATTATTGAAATAAAACCCAACATATCTTACGTCCGATCTAAGTCACATAAAAATGGGAGTAGGATCGAAAGTGAATTCAAAAACAGAAGTCTGAAAGCGACAAAATTAAACATAAACAGTGAAAATGGAATCGAATTGAGAGCGCGGGTTTTGACTTCTGAGCGCTAGAGTAGCATAAATTGAATAAAGTGTCAAACCTGTCTCTCACACACACACACACTAAAAAAAAAAAGAAAAAAAAAAAAACTACTAATGGGCCCTGCATGTGTGTATGTCAATTCTGGGCTTATGTTGGGATGGACTGGATTTAAGTAAAAGATTTCACCCTGCCTACAGACCCATGTTCTATTCAAGCATTCAACCTGGGTTAGACTTTGTGAATAAGAGAGAATCGAACAAGGCCTCTCTTTTTAAAATATATTCAAGTAAAAAGACCATTTAGACCCCACTTGGACATGTTCTATTCAAGCGTTCAAACTGGTTTATTCAGGTCTTGCCCATACGCAATTGAAACACCCTATTGAGAAATTAGTTTGTGAACCAACCGCATATATAAAATTCAGCAGGACATTTGAAGGAAAAAAAAGATAAATATACACAATCAACCTGGGTTAGACTTTGTGAATAAGAGAAGTTCTAAACACATTATGTCATTTATGCATTCAATGCAATGACAAAGCTAACTTGGGTCAAAAAAATAAAAAAATAAAAAAATTTAGTATTATTGTACATCAGTTCAGTCCGGTCTATATGTAATACTATTCTTCCTCTTAGTTCAATCCATATGTAATATTACTCTTCCTCTTAACCTAGTCTACTTTGCAATTTTGGTTCTTGATTCAATTTAATTATATAACAACACATATTTGCAGTAAAAATAAAAAAATAAAATAAAATAAAATAAAACAAAACGCACTCACATATTTGCCTGCCCCATTAAATTACCAAAGCACTTTTGTTACAAAAGATTCATATCTGGTTTTGTTAAAAACTTTTGCAACATGATCAACTAACATCACAAATAAAAAGAGGGGCAACTAATATAGTAATAGTAGGTAAAGGGTGCAAAGAGTTAGCAACTTTTATTTAGAGTTTAAGCAATGAAGACTATTTTGTAGTTATTCTATTAAATAAAGTCAACCTTCTAAAAATAAAACTTATCTTTTCAGTAATTATCCCAATCACTAAGCCCTACAACAAAACTCCTCTTTAAGGTCAGTTTTTAATCAGTATAATAAAGTCATCAATTATATCACTTTTCTTTATATATTCATAATATATATCTAGAAACAAATTTTCAAAATGGAATGAATTTGGAGTGATTTCAAAAGAAATAATATAAGATTATGAAACGAAAAAAAAAATAAATAAATAAAATAATAATAATAATAATAATAATAATGATGATGATGATGATGTAATTTGAGTGGATTTGGAAAGTAATTATTTTTCTACCAAAATTATTCCTCTAATGACGGCTTTCAAGTCTCTCTCTCTCATCCTAAACTGGAGCCAAAATTAAATTATTTTTTTAAGTTACAATTCAATTTCTTTTCCAATTCTAATTTTAAATTCTAAATTTATTTTGATTCCAGACAAAGTGTTAATAGGATTAAATTGTAATTTTTCGACAAGAATGTTGGGGTCCAACACGAGTCCTATTAAGATAACAACGCACTTGCAAGTTAAATTATGGTTCAATAATACTTCTTCAATTGTTTATGGGGCTTCTTGCCGAGATTAATTAAATTTATTTCTTTTTTTTAAAAAAACTTATGTTTATCTTTTGTGATGACGTGGAGTGACCTGCAAATCGGACGGCCAATATTTCGTGGGTCTAGATCATATTAGGTTTTGTACAACGACCAACCTAACAACTATATAAAAGATTCCAGCACCTTTGATTGCAGTGTGCAGTTCGAAGCTGCCCAATCTCACATTTAGAAACTCCGCCTCTCCGGCGTCGCCGTTGCACCCGGCGGCGATCTCATTCCGCTCTTAGTCGGATTCCGGCAATCTATCACTCTCTATCCTTCCCTCTCCCCTATCTATCACTCTATCCAACAAAAAGAAAAGAAAATCTTCCAAAAATTTCAACTTCTAGGGTTTATTTCTTCCTTTCGTGATTTATAGGGTTTGGTATTTTCAGCTTTTTTTTTTTTTAAAAAAAAAAAAGGAGGAGGGGGAAGAAATATTAAAAAAAGAACCAAAAATTTGAAAATTTTTGAAGAAAAGGAAATTCCTAGGGTTTCGATTGAGATGGCACAGATTCAAGTTCAGTCTCAGCCGATGAATGCTGCTGGGAACCAGTTGGTCACTACATCTCTATATGTCGGCGACTTGGAGCTGAATGTAACTGATTCACAGCTTTATGATGTGTTTAATCAGCTGGGTCAGGTGGTCTCCGTTCGAGTTTGTAGGGATTTGACTAGTCACCAGTCACTCGGCTATGGGTATGTCAATTATGGCAACCCACAAGATGGTTAGTCCTCTGCTTGATTCTTTAATGTATTTGTTGTTTCTTTGGTTGATATGCTTTAGTTTTATTCGGTGTTTTGTGCATAAAGATTCAATCTTTTTTATTGTTTCATGCATCCGCAGAAAACGGTAATTCACCACATAGCTTCATATTCCTATACCAGAATTGTTCTTCATGTTCCTATACCAGAATTATAATAAGAACAGTTAATAATCAATTGATTCTTGCAATGTAGGACTAGGATATGGTTATTTTGGTGAAGGAGCTAACTGAATAATCATATTGAGGTCTCCAATTGCATCATCTGTTTCACATCAAGAAATATCTTCAATGAGAAACTTATAGCTTCTTGTATTTAATAATTGAATTTAGTAACTTTAAAGATCGAAAAAGGAGAATGTAGAACAAGGTTTATAGTCATAATATGTGTAGAGAATTGCAGGTTTTCTTCTTATTATTATTGTAACTTTTTTTTGGTTACAACAATATCTCCACAATTCATTTGGACAGAAATTAATTTTGGGGATCCGCTGTTTGATTTAATATACATGCATCCCCTTGCTGTTTGATTTAATATAAGAAAAAAGCCAATTTAAAAAAGGAAAGGACCAAGAGGGAAGGTAGAAACTTAAACACCGGAACTTTGTATCTTGTGGAAACAACTTGCGGTTCGACTGCAATTATCGTTTGGTGCAGACCTTAAAAGAATGAAACTTCATCACTTACAAGCCGAATAGCAATGAATAAGGTGAAACCATCGGCAGTGCGTCTTGTCATGCAACATTCTATCATCGTGAGAAGCTTTTTTTTTTTTTCTTCTATTTTTCTCCTTGAATTTCGTGCTAGTGTGCTCAATTGGAGCATCCTGTACACAGGGAGCATGCTGCTTTCTTTGTTGGAATTGACAATTTTTCAAGTGTTTGTCTCTGAGTTGTGCATTGAGTGGGGCACCTTCTTCCTTGTTTTATTGTCATGTTTTACTTTTTATATATATTTTGATACAGCTGCAAGGGCATTGGAGATGCTGAACTTCACTCCTATAAATGGAAAGTCCATCAGGATAATGTATTCTCATCGTGATCCTAGTATACGCAAAAGTGGGGCCGGAAATATATTTATAAAGGTAGGAGTATCTTCTTTTTGTCATCTTGTTTTCATGTGACCAGTTTCAATATTTTCCTCCTGCTGTTTCATTTGTTTTGTTTCTGGTCAAGTTTACATGTTTGTTGGGCTTTGCAGAATTTGGATAAGGCAATTGACCACAAAGCACTGCATGATACATTTTCCGCATTCGGTAACATTCTCTCTTGCAAGGTAGCTACGGATTCCTCGGGTCAGTCAAAAGGATATGGTTTTGTGCAATATGACAGTGAGGAAGGTGCCCAAAAAGCTATCGAACAGCTGAATGGTATGCTATTGAATGATAAGCAAGTATATGTTGGGCCCTTCCTTCGTAAGCAGGAGAGAGAAACGGCTACGGACAGGACAAAATTTAATAATGTCTTTGTAAAGAATCTCTCAGAATTGACTACAGATGAAGATCTGAAGAAAGCATTTGGCGAATTTGGATCAATCACTAGTGCAGTAGTGATGAGGGATGAGGATGGAAACTCTAGATGCTTTGGATTTGTCAACTTTGAGAATGCCGATGCTGCTGCTAAATCTGTTGAGGCTCTTAATGGACAAAAAATTGATAATAAGGACTGGTATGTTGGGAGAGCCCAAAAAAAATCTGAAAGGGAAAATGAACTGAAACAGCGGTTTGAACAAACTGTGAAGGACGCTGTGGATAAATCTCAAGGACTGAACCTGTACATTAAAAATTTAGATGATACCATTGGTGACGATAAACTCAAGGAATTGTTCTCTCCATTTGGTACCATTACTTCATGCAAGGTGGGGTCTATTTTTTGAATTGTAAAACACCTACATAATTGGCCATGTTAGCCATTTTGTTGATATTTTGCTGTTTGGATATTTGAACAGGTTATGAGAGACCCTAATGGCATAAGTAGAGGATCTGGGTTTGTCGCGTTTGCAATTCCTGAAGAGGCATCTAGAGCTGTAAGTTGATATGACTTTATTCAATTATGAAACTCTTCTGCAAGTTCAACTGATTTTTTATTTTTATAGCTCTCGGAGATGAATGGCAAGATGGTAGTGAGCAAACCTCTTTATGTTGCACTAGCACAAAGAAAGGAAGATAGAAGAGCAAGGTTGCAGGTACATTTTTTAGCATTGTTTTCAGCTTCTTACCAACCTTAGAAGAACACCTCACCCTGCTCCCAAAATCTCAGCAACTAAAAGAGACAATAAAAAAAAATTAAAAAAAAAAAATGAAGAAGAAAATTTTGGGGTTCTCATGAAGTTGACAAAAAACTGTGGGTTTCTCTCGTTAATGCTTCATTGCTTGTTGTGAAGGAAAATCAAAATTCATTTTCTCAGACTTGTTTCACCAAAAAAATGCTGCTCAGATGAATGACACACACTGTTTTAGAGGGCCCTTTTCTGCATCAATTTTATCGACTGCTTGTGTATCTGTGTATGTGGTAAAGAATGATATATCAATGGTTGCTTTTATTGTCTATGCAGGCACAATTTTCTCAAATGCATCCAGTTTCAATGGCACCTTCAGTTCTTCCTCGTATGATGATGTACCCTCCTGGTGGTCCAGGTCTTGGACAACAAATATTCTATAGACAAGCCCCTCCTATCATTCCTCCCCAGGTATGCCATCCTCCGTTATAAGCATTTTTCCCAACACATTTTATTTGTAGCTCATGCATATGTTCAAGGCTTCAATTAACGAAACTACTATTCTAAGTTCTGCATAATTAACTAAGTACATAATTATCCTTTATTGGAGATTTGGTACAATCTGAACTTGTGGTATACTCGGAGTACTACTACTTGCAAAGATTTCATGTTCCTTGTTGAGGCTTGGAGCTTTGGAACAGGAAATGAGATTAAAGCCAGGAAATTGTTGTTACAAGTTCAATTTTCTCTATTTCATACTTTACTGTTTGAATTTGTGATGTTGGCGGTACTTTTCTAACTTCAACATGTTGGTGACATATTTTCTGTGCTTGCATTGATACTTTGTCAGCCTGGTTTTGGGTATCAGCAACAACTGGTTCCTGGTATGAGGCCTAGTGGGGCTCCCATGCCAAATTTCTTTATGCCAATGGTTCAGCAGGGACAGCAGGGGCAGCATCGTGGTGGCAGACGTGCAGGTTCTGTTCCAATGCAGCAGAACCAACAGCCAGTTCCGCTAATGCAGCAGCAGGCAAATATTTCTTATTTCTTATTACTTCCTGCAGAAATGAACAATTGTTGGTCATGTTTATTTACTTATTTTATTATTTTTCCTCCTACCTTTTGGGTTTTTGTTCTAACAGGGGACACTCATCATCTAATGGTTGTTTTCAATGTAGATGCTTCCTAGGGGGCGTGTCTACCGTTACTCCCCGGGGCGTGGCTTACCTGACGTTTCTATGCCAGGTGTTGCTGGAGGCATGCTTTCTGTTCCATATGATATGGGTGGCATGCAGCTGCGTGACACAGGAATGTCTCAGCCAGTTCCAGTTGGAGCTTTGGCTTCTGCCCTTGCAAATGCTACTCCAACGGATCAGAGGACGGTAAGCATTAAGTATTTACTTTTGGGAGGAGTAAACAGATAGGTTTATTAATGCATGACTGGTAGGGTTATTTTGATATATGATTTAGAACCATAATGAAAGAAAGGGTGAGAATGAGATGAGGCTAGAAGGAGGAGGTGAGAAACAGACAAATGGGGTGAGAAATTAGATAGGTTGGACAGACAGAGTGGTCAAGAAGAGCATGACAATGAGGAAGAACAAGGGACGAAGGAGAGTTCTCAAACTCATTAATAATTCAATATTTGAAGTTGAATTGTCTGATTACAAATGAACCTAAAAGCCTAACCCTTTATTTAGTCCTAGGAAGCACGGACACGCCTAAAAGGGCAAAGAATCTATGTCGGATACCGACACGCGCCGGACACGCCTTGCCACGTGCCGGTCGGACATGCCAAAAGACGTGTTCGAATATTTTATATTTTCTTGAACATTTGGACACGCCATGGATACGTGTCCGACGCACATGTCCCATTCTTGGGGATTTTTAAGCAAGTTTTAGAAACAATGTTGAGTTGAAGTATAAATATTAGGAGTTGTTTAATAACTTTCAGCAATATGATGGTAATTACATAAAAGAAATTGTTTTATAAAATAATTTTATATTAAAACAATTAGATATTTATCCTTATATTTTTGTTCAAGGTTCGAACTCTTGCACGGTTATCTTTGACTCTCTTGTTCTCCCACCAACCAAGCTTCGTTACCGGTGGATGGTCTCTCTATCTCTCTCTTCTCTTTTCTCCCTTCATCCTCTTCTTTTCTTCTTCTTGTTCTTCACAAATCCTAGATACTTATTTTTTTCCTTTCACAATAAATTTCTTTTTGTGTTTCTTTTTCCTTTTTCCTCTATTCCCCATGAACATTTTTCTCTTCTATGGATTCTTACCTTTATTTTTAATTGTGGCCTAATTCTTTTTCTACCAAAACCCTAAGCCTCTTTGTTTCTTTGTTTTTTTTTTCCCCTCTTTCTACCATTCTTTCTTTTTCCTAGCAAAACACAAATTTTTTTTCTTCATTATGAGGTTGTAAAAACTAATATTATTCTTAATTTCTTAAAGTACAACGTCATATATATATATATATATATATATATATAATATTTATTTATATATATATATATATATATATATATATATATATAATATTTATAATTTGCCGTGTCCGTGTTCTAATTTTTTTGAATTTGTTGTGTCGCTGTGTTCATGTCGTATCCGTTTCCGTGCTGCTTAGATTTAATCCGAAGGGTTTGGCTCAAGTGGGTAAGTTACTTGCCCCTGGTGCCTCATGAAGCATCGAATCTAAGGTTTGACTCCTCATGGGTGCAAACAATTCCTTTTTTTGTTTGTTTGTTTGTTTTTTTTTTTTTTTTGGGAGGGGGTGGGGTGAGCATTAATTAATTATAAAGCAAGCCTAAAAATCCTAAAACATAAAATTACCAAAATACAACATTACCAAAAATAACAATAAGCATAAATAAAAATCGTAATTTACTAAAGTTCGTAATTTTATTTCTCCTTTTCTCTTCTCCAAAAGTACTGCTGAAACATGTGCAACTCGTGTGCGAATTTCGTCTTGTTCTCCACCATCTATTTATCAAGCTAAGTAAATCGGTACTCATCAAGATTATTATTTTTTCATTAATAGTACTTGTAATGGCATGTATAGCTATTACTAGTATTTTCCTCCTTATCTTCTATGTTAATGTAGGTGGTTATGGGTTCAAGGTAGTGATGTGGAGTTATTACTCAAGACTCAGTGAGGATAGATGAGCTGGCCCAGGTGGAAACCCAGGCAATCTCAAATGGGAGAGAGAAAAGGTGGCAATTAATGAGATAGCCCACATGGCTCTTGAGTTGGCTTCTGGGAGAAATGATTAGGTTTTGAGTATGGCTTAGACGTGATCACCATTGATGTTGAGTTACTCGGGGTAACTACTGAGGCATTGATTCTCTGTAGTAGGTTAAGCATTTAATGTGGGACTAGTGGAGGACATAGAAGTGAAGTGATGTCATAAGAGGTCACATAGTGAGTCATTTCGAGGTAGATGTGCTCCTTGAGGATGGGTTTCCTTGATGGTTCTTGGGTTTCATCAGTAAAAAAAAGTATCAGTGCCTGCTCCTTGCAATTTATTTATGTAAAAGTAATATTTAAAGTGTTTCTAGTAGCGGATAATAGATATTAGCCATTCCGTTGGTTAATCACCTTAATTGCATATTCTAGTTTGAAAGCCTTCATATTATATATATACCACAACCATCCGTAGATGCTTACTGATGACAACTTCTTTATTGGAGCCAGCTATTTATTGCCTCTGGCTGTTGTGTTCTGGACTAATAACAAGTTTTCTGTGTTGGGATTGTAGATGTTGGGCGAAAACCTGTACCCACTTGTGGATCAGCTGGAACCTGAAAATGCAGCTAAGGTAACTGGCATGCTCTTGGAGATGGATCAGACGGAGGTGTTGCACTTGCTCGAGTCACCGGAAGCGCTGAAAGCAAAGGTTGCAGAGGCCATGGAAGTCCTGAGGAATGTTACTCAGCAGCAGCAGCAGCAAGCCAGCAGTCCTGCTGATCAATTGGCCTCATTGTCATTGAATGATGGCCTTGTTTCTTGAGTGCTTGTCTTCTTTTCGGTAAGTTTTGAGTGCGTGACTTAAAATAAGGAGTTTTTACTCCCTAAAGTACTTCGTATGAGTCAGTTTTAGGTGTGTCGCAGAGACTCGAGTCCTCTAGCAAAGGAAAGTACTGGTTTTTGTATGGCTTTAGACTATATTATGTGTGTTTTTCCAGAGATATGATATTTATGCCTATCGTTTTCCATCAATTTTTTTTGTTGTCTTAGGCACATTACAATGGATGGATCACAGCAATTTTTCCCTAGATAGGAAATTCCATCGGTTTGACATATTTGCTGATATGTGCTTGAAAATTTGAGGTTTATTCCGTTTTGGCTCAAAGAAGGTGTAGTTCTTAAATAGGTGTAAGCACGTATTGAAGGTGGTCGACTGAGGGATAGTATATGGGCATGTTTGGTTAGGTTTTGTTTTCATAGAACTGGAAATCAAGAATCAGTAATTTTTTTCTTTTTTTGATTCCCGGATGGAGTGCATTAGGCCCCACTTCAATGCATCAAATGGCAACTAAAGTCGTCGTGTCCATCAAATGGCAACTAAAGTCGTTCTGTCCGTGAATTCGGTGCAGTCGAATCATTTTCCTTTAAAAGAATGCTTGCTTTCTTGTACGAGTCTGTGTGAATGCAGAGGACCAATTCTCTCCCTCTCTTCTCTTTTGGTACCAATCAATTCAATTCAAATTTCAAACCATAAACTTAAAATTCAACAAATTTGCTTTCTAATAGCGTAACGAGCAGAGAAAAATAAAGGGAAATATTGATATTGACCTGTGATCCTGATCTTTAAGTTAACCATAGCAACACCTGTAATTCCTCCTTGAACTCAATTTAGTTAAGGTGTGATTATATGATGTGATATGGTATTATGGTGTGTATATATATATACACAAGACTTACCTTTGGACGGATATCCCGAAAAGGACATTAATGATCTGCATAGTGATATAGTCATTAGATTAATAATGAGTTTCGAAATCCATAACTTCCATGTACTCTTTAAACATAAGTGACGTGACAACAACCAGAGCAATGCTTGAAGTACAGTAATTCAAAAATTATTTTTCCGATAAAAGCTAAACTTAAGAGCGCGATTTTGCTATGGCACCAAATTTTGGTAAGGGAACTTAAAATTTCATCCTTTTTACTACTTACATTGATTCTAAAAAGATGTGAATACTAGAAAATATCGATACAATACAATTCTTGATCAAATTTTGTGTTTGATGAGACTTTTTCACCATTTCCTGGTGCTTCATTCACGGAATTCCAGGGAAATTTGGATTTTTAAGCATTTTCCTTCAATCATTTATGCTACTAGCTTATTTTTGGTAAGACCATTTATGCTACTGTCACGAATCTAATTATTAATCATTTATGATGCTGTCCTTTCTTTATTATTGGGTAAGATCTTATGCTACTGTCACAAAACTAAACATTTATGCATCTATCTATTTTATGTAGGAAAATAATTTTTGCACCTGAATTGTTAGACTTACTCTTCTAATTAGTTTATTATGCAATAAATAATAAAGTAGAACTCTTCATTTAATTGTATTTGGTATAAATAGTCAATTACAAATTATACAAATTATACAAATTATTCGGTTAGACAATTCACGACAACTGTTCGGTATGAATATCACAAAACTAAAATTTAATAATTTCATTCAACTATTATTTTTAGGTAAGATCATTTATTCTACTGTCCCAAAACTAAAAGTATATGAAGATCGCGTTCTCATTGAAAGTAGTTTAAATATAAAAATAAATAATTATGGAAATGGTTAAATTGTTTTCACATTAGAATGAAGTTAAGATTAAAAATCCACATGTGAGATGTAAAAAGGTCATCCCGTTCCACCCTATTTATACTATTCTCTCCATATCATATAATTTTTGCACTCTTGATATTATAATTTTTAACGAGATATGCAATTAATGCATTGTTTCTTTTTAAAATTATCATGTTGTCTTTTTAGATATAAAGGTATATATTACCAAGTTAGGAAATATTTATTTGTCTTCCAAATTATCTTAGTGCCTTATCATTGCTTAGAGAGAACCGCATAAGCTGAATTTCATCATAAGTGGGTCTGGGGATGGATATGAGGGGTGGAATGAACACATATGGAAATAATGTTGAGATATATGGAGTGCGAGTGTCAGCACCTGGGTAGGAACGAGGCTGCATTCCCCAGTGTAGAATGGTAGTAGGACAGGATTTCCTACTTAATTGCAGTTTCAGTTTCGGTTTCAACAGGAACTCCATTAGCACTAGTAAGACCATCTCCAATGCAAAATACCGTTTTTGTATGCCAAATTTATATTTTGAGAGGAGCTACAGTGTTAAAATACTATATTTTAACAATTTTGCTCCAATGGTGCATTTAATAAAAAATATTAATTTTTTTTATACAACAACCATTCTTTTTCAACTACCATTCCTAACTACCAATTTTCAACAACCATTTTTTTTTTTTTTTTTTTTTTTTTTTGAGTGTTTGTATTTTATTTAGCTTATTTGCCTCATTAAAAATAAATAAAATATAAATGATATATTTGATTATATTATTAGTAACTCTAAATCAAAAAATAAAATATTTTTAGGGTAAATCATTTTAGTTGAACTTGCCCTCTCAGCCACCCCAATCGCCTCCATCTCTATTCTTGTTCTCGACTCTAAACTTGCCCTAATAATGCACATGTGGTAGACATATGAAAAGATTAATAAATCATATTCATTTTTTCATGCCAACTTTAAAAAATATTGATCGTTTCAGTTATTGTAGTGTGATGTACTTGTGCATATTCATGTGATATTTTTTTATCTTTAAAAAAATATATATATATATATATATATATATATATATATATATATATACATTTAAATTATATATATATATATAGTTAGATGATGCATTATTTATATGGACAACGATGAAAAAAAGAAAAAATTATACATGTCTTATATAAATACGGAGTAACTTTTTTAGTTTATTTTATTTTAAAGCACTTGTTTGGATAAGTTTACATTTCATAATTTTTGTAAACTATTCTGCGGTGAGTTTATGTAATGTTATGACTCATATATATATATATATAATTAAATGTGTGGTGAAGAATTTTTGTAAACTATTCTGCGGTGAGTTTATGTAATGTTATGACTCATATATATATATATATATTTAGTTTATTTTATTTTAAAGCACTTGTTTGGATAAGTTTACATTTCATAATTTTTGTAAACTATTCTGCGGTGAGTTTATGTAATGTTATGACTCATATATATATATATATATATATATATATATATATAATTAAATGTGTGGTGAAGAATAAAAAGGAAAAAAAAAAGAAAATTTTAATTAAAAATGGTGGGATCACCACCACCTTTTTCATTGCAAATGGCCTTATGGCCATCAGTTTCTCTCTCTTCCCTTATTCTCTCTCGGCATACCTCTCTTTCTCCCTTCTCTTTTTATTTTTCTTTTCCATTTCAAAGCTTTAAGCTTTGATGTCTCTCTCACCATTTGGTATTTTTGGGTGTCGTTTGCGGCAAATTAAAGAGCGCATCGAGATCTTTAAGTGGGTGTGAGCAATTTCAGTTTCGGTGCACTCTAGGAATTTTGAATTTTTGACTCACTTTGGAGATTTTTGCATCTAAGTGAAGTAGGGGTGTTCTAATTTACAATTTCTTTGATTCTTTGTGAATTTTTCCTTCTAAAGTTGGTCATAAGCATGCTTAGTTTTAGTTATGTTGAATATGGTGATTGTATTTAGTTGTATTCATGATGCTAAGTGATGTGATGTGTTAATTGAACCTATGAACTTAATTAATTTGTTGTGATGAAAAGCATGCTTAATTATGACAAGTTATATGTAAAATGTTTGTCAATTGCTATGTAAAATTGGGGTTATTGGTTGTAAAAATAAATGTAAAATTGGGATTATTAGTTATGAAAATAAAAGTAAAAATTGGGATTATTAGTTATAGAAATAAATTTAGAATTTCTTTTCAAAATGTGAATATGACATTGATGGAATGTGTAGAATTTAATTGTTGGATCTGTGAATTGAAAGTATGTAAAATACCATAATTTGAAAATATGAGAATGCGATATTGTGTGAAAATTCATGTTTTAAAACATGCTTAAATGATGCGGATAATATGTATGAGATTCTATGTTGTCATGGCATTAAAGGAATTGCATAATTCATGCATTGTCATTGGGAAAGTAAAGGGAAAAGTTTGTTTTAAAAACAAATGCAATTATTTTTGGGGAAAAAGTTTTTCTAAAAGTGTTTGCGAAAACTGGATGCCTAGGAGGCGCCTAGTGGTCCGTGGTGTTAGTGTAGTCTAGAGGGGAGTATGGTTGAGCTAATTAGGCCGAATGCAACGCTTTGGAGATGCCTTGTGGTCGTGGATGGTTAGCCAATCCTCCTTTCGTGACGCCATGGAGGTACCTTGGGTCGGATTACACTAACGGTTTGGAGATTGAAACAGAAATGTTTCGGAACAGGGAGTGATACGCATGACATTGCATTCCATAGCATGGCATGGTTTGTTACGACTTGGACTATTGTTGTTGATGTTGTGGTTATATTTATTCCGGTAATGGCATGATCCTTGCTCTTTTTCCTATTTCTTATTTGGATTTACAAGATCACAAGAGGTGTGTTTTAGACACCACCTACTGAGCAATTTGTTTACCCCATATATTTAACATTTTTCAGGTCACGGGAAGGAAGTGGCGGACGACGCTCCTCCACAGGGTTCGATGGGTTAGTGGACTGCTTTGACATATGTTGTAGCTATGATCTCTTTTTATTATTATTGCTATTACTATTTTTTTTTTTTTTAAAAAAAACCCTGGGATGACACGTATATTATGTATTCATGTAGGAAAGGACGGTAGTGTCCTTAGTTGATCTCGGGTTCGGATAAGGACTCGGTTAACGATTCTAACCCTTGGATTCGGGTCGTTACAAATTTGGTATCAGAGCAATGGTTTGAAAACCAGTAGGACGACGGGTAGAGGCCTATCTAGGGTTGTGTGGAAAGTGGATTGCATTATTTATGTACTTATGTGTTAAAGTATTTGTTATCTGAGAAACATGCTTACTTGCCTAATTACTTATGTGTTTATGGTTTTAAAAGACACGTTTATTTACTAAGTGTTCATATGCTTACGTAGTTGATTGCTAAAATGTGTGTTATATGGCCATGACGATGAAATGTATAAATAATTGAGAACATATTAATTAAGATATGATGACATGTGTGATTTAAGTGGTAACGGCAAGTGGTAGGCACGATGTGTGCAGTTTTATTTTAAATAATAATGTAGCAAATAGTGTGATACCCCTCGATTCTAGAGCCACGGGTGATCAAGTCCGAGCACAGATCCGAGGGATATCAGACAATTAATATATAAACAAGCAAGAATAAAACTGAATTAATAATAAAATAATGATACGCTGAAAAGAATTCTAATTGTAAAACCTCCAAAATAAAAGTTTTAATATAAATAAACTTTCCAATCCGTACAACTCGGGAATCCATCTAGTGGACCCCTAATATTTCCAACTGGTAAAACATTTACAGAATTAAAATCCAAAACCAAAATAAGAAAGAAAATCCTATGTAGTCGGAAGAGTGAGTGACTGTATCTGCATCACCACGATCAAACCCTAAGCCTGGTACTCACGAACACCTGAAAAATAAAGGTGGGTCAGGCCCACATGCAAGTTCCATCCTACTACAATCCGTACATAAACCCGATACGCAGATACATCCTAGATAGCTCGACAATATCTACAATAGTCCATAGACATATATATACACACTATAGGATGCTCACTAGCCTATAGCATAGTTCAGCCTGGGTAGAAGGTGACATATAAAACACGCTTTTCAGCGGCCAAGTACCTAGACCCACCAGGGAACATTAGCTATATCTAGCTACTCAACCTTTGCAATATACGCACCCTAACCGTGATCAGGAGACTCAAGCTCGTATCACAGTACCATAAATATATATATAAATTCCTTCCTAATGCCGAAAGATAAAACAAGCATCCATTATGTCGTTCAACTGTTTTAGTTGACAAGACATGTATCCATGTAGGAGTTAACTATTTTAGTTAATCCATTCCGCATGTAAGAAGGGGTAGGACTTAGCTATTTGATCTAATCCATCCCTGATATGTCACCGTCCCATACCGGTACATATAATGCAAATGATCCATAAACGATGCACATTCATTAGAACATCAAATAAATCCAGAAACCAGCACAATAGAAAACAGATATTATTAAGATCCTACTATGCATCCAGTATATGATTATAATCATTAATCCTCCAAACAAATTGTTAAAGTATTGATAAACAATTTATATTATCCACATCCATACAATTGATAAAACAGAAGTTAAACAGTTCATCAATTAACATCCATAACCTGTTATAATGATCAGTTAGAAATATGAACTAAATACATTATACTAGATATCCCAAACCATCCTCTCATACCATATTATTTAAATTGCCAAAACAAAGACAAGTAATGAAACCCTCCATAAATCCTTAACAGCATAAAAGTTAGCATTTACACCACATGACGTCCCTTTGATCCTCCACTCCAAAACCTGTGCCTGATATAATATGACACTCTGAATTCCAAACTGCTCATTATATGAAACCCCAACAGTATTCCCACACTAGTCCATTTAGTTTGCTAAACCAAAACTAGCAACTAAAATTCCTACCATTCCTGACAGCATACCATTTAATATTTAAGTTAATACTGTCTATGCCCATAACCCACACCGAACTTTCTGGCCTCCATTAAAGTATATAAATAATTTATATAATATCCCAAAAGTAATTCGATACCAGTCAGTTTAAGTTATTAAAACAAACTTATTAACTTAAACATTCATCCTTCCTTGACAGCATGCCTATTCCATGTTTCTGTTTCCTGATGCCCCTTAAGATTAGCACCCTAGCATAACCAACTATTTAAAGGTCTTAATAGGTTAATTTTAACATATTTGAAACCCCCTTTAATTTTCAGTATTTGCGTTTAACCCCAGAACTCCGAAAAAATTATAGAAAACACCCCGTAGGGGTTTTTTTCCATGGGAGCCGGCTCCCCTTTATTGGAGCCGGCTCCTAGGCTTCTAGAGCCGGCTCCCCCTCATGGAGAGCCGGCTCTCACCCCTGAGAGCCCCTCTGCATCGTCTCTACTTCGTCCGATGATTTTTCTGCGTTTCCGGCGAAGTCCGACGTTCCTGTCCCAAATATTTTAACATTCCTAGGGTTCAATTTAAATTCTTAAAGCCCTAGAAACTTCTCACCATCCAGCATGCATTAATTGACAAAAATCTAAAACAAAACAAAACCGTATCCAAAAACGCCATTCACAGTTAACCGAACGTATGAACAATCTAAAGTCTGATCACCAGTGTCAAAATTCCATTATAATGGTTAACTAACTTCCTAACCATCCTAACAACACCCCACATCGCATTATGAATTAATTTACAGAGGTTTAATACATAATCTAACAATTTATGCAAGGGAAGCCATCTTCAGTTAGTATACGGTTAACCAAATTTCAGACTAAACTAATATGCATAAAATTTGTTTTAAAAGTTTTAATTAAATTCCTGGAGTCTATTTAGAATGCACAGAACACAAGTTTACAGGAAGGAGAGAATGAAACTTGCCTTAAGATTCTGGTTTGAAACCTTCATCGCCGTTGCTAAATTCTGCAACGAACTGTAAACTACCTGCAACTCTCCCACTGTTCCAGCTTTATTCCACAAGCCATCGACTCTTTCTTCCTTGATCCCACCTTCAATCCATGGCTGCAATCCTAATTGATTCTCTCAATTTCCCTCTGTTTTTCCTTCTCAAGGAACCTCTCTGTTTTTCCTCTCATAAACCATTACGTGAATAGGGTTTTCTCCCAAAACCCTTGCAGCATATATTGTTATATATATATAGACTCCTCTGAAACCCTAATCCCAAATCCAGTAATCCTAACCCTAAGTCCAGCCCAACTACAAGTCGGCTACCTAATTACTTAATCATAACACCCTAAAAACCCTTAATTTAGGAAAATAAATAATTAATTAATTTAAAATACCAATTCAATTAAACAATTAATTTAAAACCAATAAACAAGTAAAATAAATCAATTAATCTAAAACAAATAATTCACACTTAATCAATTAAACAAACCACAAATAATAATAAATCAACTAATTTAACCAAATAACAAATAAGTCCAATAATGTAAATAAAAATGAAAAACAAACCAAAATATTAAATAAACCAATCCACTATATAACAATTAAATTAAATACACACAAATAATAATAAATCAACTAATTTAACCAAATAACAATAAGTCCAATAATTTAAATAAAAATGAAAAACAAACCAAAATATTCCCATTTTATCCTTTTGAAAACTAGGGGTATTACAAATAGTGAGCATGGTAGGTGCAAGCCTGTCTCGTATGGTATTGTGACGGTTATTTAAGCACGGTTTATGCAAGTATTTTTTTTAAAAGGAAAGACAGGGTGTTTAAATTTTAAATGAAGGGACACAATTGTATTATGATATGGGGTACGATAGAGTACTTGTTGCGGCATGGATGGTTGTGTGAGTTTTGACCTTAGTAGGTGAGGAGCTCGGTTGCTCCAGTGTTGTTTGGGGTGTCAGTTCTTATCGAACGAGTGTCTTAAACTTCTAGCTCGTGGATTGAGCTATTCAGTATGTAGTAATCCTGATTTTTTTTGTTGCCTTTGTGCGGTGCTTAGAGCACGGCTTTAGAACGGGTCTGTACTTTATGGCATGGTGTCTTTATTGTGTGTGAGTTTTATGCATTGGTGGACGGGTTCTTGTGACCATGGAGGTCAGGTGTGCCAGTGAGGGTTTCGAGGGGAAAATGTATGACCTTAGGAGATTAGTGTTTGTGACTTGGGTCACAGTTTGGTGCAGAGGTTCTTTTTGAACCGATTTGTGGTAGGTGTGACAGGGATTGCTTAAGTCACTAATGTAGTCTATAGGTTGTAGACATGTATTTTGGTTATTTTGGTACGGTCCGAGGGAGCGTGTTGATTATGATTGTTAAAGGGACTTGTTGAACTCTGTGAATCTAGGGTGGCGTAGGCATTGACTTGGGTTATGCCAGTACCGGGTGATCAATTGTTTGATGTGATTCAGTTCATGGGTTGTAGGAGTCTATCTCAGAGACTTGTTAGTCAAGGGTGATTCCCATTTCGGGAAGCTATAGGATAGTGTTGTGGGTAATTGACTCTCGGTAAGTTGATTATATGGCTCGGTGGATGAGCGGGGTTGGAGAGTCCAAGTTAAACCCACCTAATATATTTTGAGATTGGCAGCCCATTAGAGTTGCTCTAAGGCTTGTGATCTTAACCACCATATTAAAACAAAGGCCTAAGTCAAATAAGCCCAGAGACAGCCCTGACCCAAGGCAACAAAGACAGTCTCCCAGGGCTCAAAAATTATGGGCCCATGGATGATGGGTCACCAAAAAAACAAAATATTTTTAAGGCAAATCATTTCAGCCTCCCCAATCGCCTCCATCTCTATTCTCGTCCTCCTCCACTCTGAACTTATCCTCTCTCTCTCTATCTCTCTCTCTCTCTCTCTCTGTGCAACTGCAAACTACAAAATCTACAAGAATCAGAAGTTCAAAACCCATATATTTCGGTTTATCTATCTGTCTGCAAGAATCAAAAGTTCAAAACCCATATCGGCATATCATTTCAGATTGTTCAAAAAATCAAAACCCATATCTTTTGCAAGCTTCAGTGTCAAAAGTTCGGGTTCGCCGTTCGCAAGCTTCAGCCACTGTCTCTCAACTCTCAAGCTTGTCCCCCTCTCTCTCTGCAACTGCTAACTTGTATGTACACTGTGCAAAATTCTGTCCTACTTCACAATTACCATATTACCAACTGGGTTACCCTCTGAAATCATCGATGGATCGACAAAGAGCATTGTTGAAGAGTGCTAATGATTTTTGAATTTTAAATCGAGGACTACCAAGAGCATTCAGATTTGATGAACTAAAGTTTCATGAAGCTCCGTTGAAGATGACACACCTTTCATGAGACCGATACAAATGCATGAAAGGGAAAAAAAATATATCATATTCTATGAAGATTTTGATCTGACATGGAGTAAATATGCATGTGACACAAAATTCTTCTTAAACCAAAAGGAACATGAGATTTCTGCAACAGTACCTAAGGAAGAAACAAGAACAATCTTGAGGTAATTAAGAATTAAATAATTACGGTAGTTATTATATATTATTAACTTCTGGAATTTGGTTAAAAAAAAAAAGTCGCTTCCCCATTTTGAGGTACCCAACCCTAGGACTTACCAATAATGGGTTCAAAAAATATGTAGAATTTTATGTTACTTGGTATGTAACTTCGGACTGAATCTGGCGCTTTGGTGAGGTTAGTTATTTAATTTTGATCTTTCTGAGAGTTTGATTTTTAACCCCATTCCTTTGTTAGGTCTCCTGTTTTCCAATTGGATTCAAACTGTTGAAGTCCGCCCTAATTAATGGGCCTAATTACTGTTTGGTTGCCGAGAAAACTAGGGAAATGAGTGAGTTTTATTTATTTATTATTATTTTTTTCTTGAACATCATTGACTCTGCTAAGCAATGCCAAACAGTTATGTGCTAGATTTGGTTCCTACCTTGGAATTTTTATTTTACTTATTTCTTTTTAGTAACACTATCAAGAGACATTGGAATGATCCTTTTGTTTCGTTGACCATATTGAGAGTGTTGGATTCAGTGATTTACTGAAAGATTTGATTAGATTTCAAAAATGTCTCAATCAATAGTTCACAAGGAGAGTTCACAGAGCTTAATTTTAAATACTGTATTGTTTTCGAATTGTGGGGTTTGAATTGTGTTTAGGTTGTAGAATTGGCAGGAAATGGAGTAAGAGACAACAAAAAGTATAGGATTATACCAAGGCATTTGCTGTTAGCTGTAAGGAATGATGAAGAGCTTGGAAAGCTTCTTGCTGGTGTGACAATTGCTCATGGAGGTGTTCGGTGTTCCTGATCGAGGAAGCGGGCGGCTTAGCCTGAAACAAAATTTAATCTAGGCCATTTAAGGCTCACTGGGCCGGGTTTTGGTCATCTATGGGCCAGGTTCCAGCTTTCTGGATTGTTTGGCCGAAGGCCCATGTAATTTTTCTTCAATTAATACAATTTGCTTAATATTATTTATTATTATTATTTTTTTAAAAAAAAACCTACTTGTATCAAATTTTTTGTCCATAACTCGAAAGAGTATCCTCCGTAATCACACAAGTCCATTAATAAACAGGAAGAAGTAGTACACCGAATTGGTTTCGCTACGGTGATTCTGAATTTCTTGCAAACAACTCTAAAACATTCTGATTGGTTAAGTAGTACTAAATTCAATTCAAAGTTCAAACAATAAACTTAAAATTCAACAAATGTGTTTCCAATTCCCATAATGTAACAAACAGAGAGAAATTAAGGAAATATTGACCTGTGATCCTAGTTGTGATCTTAAGTTAACCATGGCAATACCTGCAATTTGAAGCCCCTCTTTGAGAGTTAGATGAGTCAGTAGAACTCAATTTAGTTAAGGTGATTGTATGTGATATGTAAGCATATATATATATATATATATTAAGACTCACCTTTGGACGGTCGAATATCTAAGTATTTTGATAGGCCAGATGATACTATTCTGAAAAGGACATCGATCGTTAATGGTATATATAGTGATATTGTTTATAGATTAATAATGAGTTTCGAAATCTATAACTTGGGTGTACTCATTAAACATACATGAGCAGTGTTTCAAATACATTAATCCTATGAAAATGTGAACACTTGAGAATTTCTTTTCTAAAATACGAGAAAGTATGGTAACATAATAAAATTTCATGTTGGATGAGACTTTTTCACCATTTCCTCATGGCAGTACTTTGCCATTTGTCATGGTTCGTTCACAGAATTCTAGGGAAAAATCGGATCTTTTAGCATTTTCATTGAAGGGAAAATTATATTTTGATAACCAAAATTAAACAAAATTATTTTATTGTGACCTTAAACTGATGAAAAGATAAATAGTGACCAAATCTAAAATTTAATTGTTAATAAGTGACTAACTGATGTTAATTTAGTAAAAAATACTTGATTGTTTATCAAAAATTGTAAAATTGTTTCAAGAGGACTAAATTACCCCTTATAGCTCTTTTGGGGTCATCCTCCTCTGTCTCCTTCTTTATGAATTCTTTTTTTTTTTTTTACAGTTTGCAGTTGACCAAAAAAATAAAATAAAAAATAAAAAATAAAAAAGGTTTCTTTATGGTTTTTTATCTAACTTCAACCCTGTCCACATCAAATTAATGGATCTAAAGTGAAACTAAATACTCTCCGATACAAATTTTTAAACAATTTAAAAATTGTGGCCTCCAATGACATAAAAAGTGATGCGAAACAAAAGATCATCTCTCACTTATTTACAGGAAAGAAATAAAGATCATCTTAGATAAGTCCAAATTTGAATGTAAAATTATGATAGTGCTTAAAACAAATAAATTCCATTCCAAACCAATTGTAATGGCATAAATATCATGTTACTATTAACAAATCTTTATATAACTTTTATATTTTTTATTTTTTTTATAAAAGAGAGTATTATGATTTTTTTTTGTTTTTTTTTGTTTTTTTTAAAGCTGTAATCATGAACAGGTATTGAGTTATTCCTTAAAGTAATAATCTTATGGCAAATCTCAAACATAACCATGGGAAGGGAAATAGAGATAACAATCATTGTTGCTTATGAAATTTTTTTTAAAAATAATAATAACAATCATAGTGCTTCCATAATTGTAACCTTGTAGCCATGTATATGTGTGTCTATGAAAATTTGAATAATGGGAGAGGAAGGTCACTCAAAGTAGAGAGTTGTCACACTTATGGGCCTAAAGTTTGATCTAATTTGATTAGCTCATGGAATATATATAAGCAGGCCAGTTGTGAGTCTATTGTCTCTGAAACCATAATCAATGGAGTAAACTTAAAAAAGGAAAAAAAGTTAGTAAGAAAAGAAAATAGTGGATTTGTCCAATTATAAAATATTTTATGATAAGAATATTTATGTAATTTTTCACTACATGATCACTTATTAATATTTAAGTTTTAATTTTGGTGACTAACCTTTTCTCACTTCAGAATAATACTAGTATTATTTAGGTTTGGTTACTAAATTTTAATTTTTCCTTCATTATTGTCAATCATTTATGTTACTATCTTATTTTAGTAAGGCCATTTTTGCGACTGTCACAAATATAATTATTAATCATTTATGATGCTATTTTTGGATTTTTTTTAATTTTATAAGATCATTTATGCTATGTGACAAAACTAATTATTAATCATTTTTTCTGCTATCTGTTTTTTGTTAAGATCATTTATGCTACTGCCACGAAACTAAAATTAATCATTTATGATACTGTCCTTTTGAGGTTATAACATTTAATCCCATCATCGCCCAACGCGTGATGTGCCCGAAGGGTGATGCACTTGTGGGCCATCAACAGCTGCATTTCCCACAGCGGCTTGTCCAAGCTGAACTCAGTCGACACCGCCAGATCAGCCAGGTAATCGTTGACCGCATCCTCGTCCGGCCTTGAGCCCCGCGAGGACCGGCTCGTGGCGGATGATCAAGGGGCGGCCAATCGTGACGGTCTCTGACCATCAAGCTGGTGAATATGGGAGTGTGAGGGCGGATGTAACCTTTCTGAATGGACTAATTTTGAACTGAATTAACTTTAAACTACATTATTATTATTATTATTATTATTATTATTATTATTTTACTTGGCTTAAAGTAGTATGATAATTTTTTTTTTTTTTTTGGAGTGGGCTGAAGCCCAGCTTCTCCCACCTTTAAATCCGCCCTTGAGTGTGATCATGACGGATTTGTTGAACTCAACCTTCAAGGCGTCTAGGTTGATTGGGTGTTTTTGGCCGATCGTGCACATTATTATTTGGTTCATCTCCGGCTGGATGAATAGCCGGCCGACTGACGTTAGTAGCTCGTCTAACTCTAAAGGGTCCATGGGCTCATCCCTATATGGTGGTCCACCCACACATTTAATTGAGTTAGTGGGCCAATTATTTATGTGTTTGTTTTTCATTATTAGGATAATACTTAGTTTTTCATCGGTGAATATCCATCTAAATATGAATGTGGATCGATAATAAATAAACACAATTTAATTTACTATTTTTGATTTAGCAAGTAAATATATACCACACCATCTCAATTGATAATTAAATAGGACGTTAAGTATTATTCTCCTTCTTTTTCTTATTATTATAATTATTAACAGTGGTAAAGAAAATAGATTTACAAGTACCTATACTTTTATTACTCAAGTGATGTGCTATAAGTACTCTCCTTTCTTCTTTTATTTGAAATTCTAGATTACTAAGAACACAATAACTTGTCGCAGCAATACGTTATATGCATTCTGTTACATTATAGGAAATTGAGGCATCACAAGGCATTATATATTTCGCCGTTCTAAAAGCACATTACAACTCTCATTATTGTTCTTCAAACTACATCACATTCACTATTATTTCACTTATATTCCGTCATTTTATGTAAAATTCACCCTTTTTATTTATAGTATTGTGAATCTTTCAAATGACTGGAATCATAATGCATGCAGGAGAAACTTTGTTCAGGTCTTAATGGCTGCCTCAGCGGCTTCCTTCAATTTGAGCAAGGCATCTTCGAAGCACTTGGCTAAAACCTGAGGATCAGGGATAATTTCTTTGGTCACCAAGATTTGCATGTCAGCTCTTCCTGCATAGCTCACCATGTTCAATAAGATTGCCTGCAATACCAATCAACATTAACCATATATATATATATATATATTGCATCAATTTCCAAGAGGAAAATAAAGTGAGTTCAGAAGTTGTACATGGGGTATGCTGGATGTATTTGCCCTTACGTAATTTATAGGGTTGCCTGCAAATGATATCTCCTCTTGTGGACCAACCACATTTGAGATTAAAAATGTTGTATTACAGATAATTTTGTAATTAAGCGAGGTTGCATGCTGCAAAAACAATAACATTAATAACACCATCAACAAAAACTAGAGTTTCAAGTTTTAGTATCACACAAAGTGTTGAACTCTCCACCTTTGCTCCAAAATAGGACATAACAAAGCTGCAGACTTTGCTTGAGAAATGAGCCTCCAATGATTGTTTCTTCTTGTCAAGCATTTTCTTTGCTCTCTTCAAATACTGCAGAGGATTGCTCTCTTCAAATACTGCAGAGGATCGGCACGGCTTTTATGATAATAAACAGGAAGAAGAAGTATACCAAGTTCGTTGCCCCACCGTAATCCTGAACTTCTTGCCATCAACTCCGAAACATCCTGCTTGGTTGGTACCAATCAATTCATTTTAATTCAAACCATATGGTTAAAATTCAACAAATGCGCGCACTTTCCATGTTGTAACGAGAGGAGAGAGAAAATGAGGAAAATATTGACCTGCAATCCTGGTTGTGATCTTAAATTAACCATTGCAACTCCTGTAATTTGAAGCCCCTCTTTGATAGCTAGAAGAGATGATTCAACTCAATTCAGTCAAGTCAATTATATGTCAAATGGCTGATATATGTAATGAGAGTAATGATAGAACGACTAATTTTAAGTGAGCAAGTACTAATGTCATCTTGACATTAGAAATATTAATGATATCATGATGATATCCGTTCGTATTCACATAAATCAGTAAAAGTTATTTGATTTTTAAACTCTAAAATCGTTGTAATATAATAATCAATACACACCTTTGGGCGTTGGAATATCCAAATATTTTGAAAGGCCGGATGATATCACCCCAAAAAGAACATCATTAATGGTCTGCATATAAATAAGTCATATTAAAAATGAGTATTGAAATCTATAACTTGCATGTACTGGTGCTTGTGTTAATTCAAAATATAATTTTTTGATAAAAAATTATATTTTTTTATGTCATTTTTACCTTGGCAAGAATTTACACACTCACTTTAATCACTAAAGAAATTTAGCACCATACAAAGACCTCAAAAAATCGGATTTTAAAGCAATTTCCTTTCATTATTTATGTGACTCCCTATTTTTGGAAGGGTCATTTATGCTTCCACCTATTTTTGGTCGGACCATTTCTGCAACTGTCACAAAATTAAAAAGCATATCATGGTGGAGCTCTCAA